AGACCAGGGTTCAAAAACCCATATGACCATGCCATTCCCTGAGTGACCTTGTGCCAGTCAATGCCTATCAGCCTAACCTACCTCACAGAGTTGTTGTGGGGGATTAAATGAGGAGAGGGAGAACGACATATGCCACCTTAAGCTCCTTGGAGGAAAAGGTGGGATAACAATGCAATTAAGCACCATCATCCATGCTGGTATGTTCAAGTGACAGTAGGTTTTCCCAGATACCATGGGAAAATACCCCAGATATTGGTTGTGAGAACTGGCCCTTGGCCTGTAGACTTCTGTGGTTATGTGAATTAAGTACAGCGTCTTGCTCAGGGGTTTTTAAACAACCACCTGACCTCTATAAGAGCAGCCTAGCATAGCTGCTGTAATCATCTCTCTACCTTCTGCCAATAACAACTGTTTTGTTCCAGCAGCAAGTGAGAGTATAGCAAATCTAATAGTTCCAACACGGTTAGCCAAAGAGAAGGTATCCAGGCAGCAAATGTGTCTCTGTGTGTAGGAGGATGAAATCCATCAGGCTGGTGCAGCATACTTAGCCTTTGTAGACTGTCTGGAAAGGAAAATAACTATAAACTATCGTACGTGGAGTATTTTCTACTGATAAGCCATTTGACTCTCAGGTTGCTTTTTCCAACAGCTGTTAAGGTGGAAGTTTTTTGGGGGGTGGGTGGGTTTTGTTTTTGTTTGTTTGATGCAGGAAAGAAACAAACCCTGCTGTGATTTGACACTGCCTTGGTTTATTGTTCCGGGAGTGAAAGGGCTGCATCAAAACCTTTCTGAAAATAAACATGGTTTCACTTATAGCGAGCTACTGCAGTATTCATATTCACAATGCATGGAAACGGGGGCGGGAAATGGGCTTGGCGGGTAAACTCTAGGAGTCTCAGCAAGAAGCCATGGATCTTTTCCACTGTTAGGCACAATTCCCAAGGTTTTAAATATAAATTTGTTTCTTCTTCTGCCCTTTGTGGTGCATTGATGTGAAATACAGTGGTACCTCGCAAGACGAATGCCTCGCAAGACGAAAAACTCGCAAGACGAAAGGGTTTTTGGTTTTTTGAGTTGCTTCGCAAGACGAATTTCCCTATGGGCTTGCTTCGCAAGACGGAAACGTCTTGCAAGTTTGTTTCCTTTTTCTTAACACCGTTAATACAGTTGTGACTTGACTTCGAGGAGCAACTCATAGCATGCGGTGTGGTAGCCTTTTTTGAGGTTTTTAAAGACTTTGGTGATTTTTGAAGCTTTCCCAAAACTTTCCCGACACCGTGCTTCGCAAGACGAAAAAAATCGCAAGACGACAAAACTCGCGGAACGAATTAATTTCGTCTTGCGAGGCACCACTGTACTGTATCCTCAGTTGAAGTTTAGGGATTGTGCTGGTCCTGTGGTCATAACCCAATCGCCTTCTCAATCCGGCCCACGGACGGTCCAGGAATCAGCGTGTTTTTACATGAGTAGAGTGTGCGCTTTTGTTTAAAATGCAGCTCTGGGTTATTTGTGGGGCATAGGAATTCATTCATTCCTCCTCCCCCCCCCAAAAATATATAGTCCGGCCCACCACATGGTCTGAGGGACGGTGGACCGACCCACGGCTGAAAAAGGTTGCTGACCCCTGGGTTAGACTCAGGGTGAATAATGAATTAAAAGCCTAACATGCTGAATTTAAAATTAATAGATAAATTGGTTGCACATGTTAACATCCCCATCCCATCCCATGAGCTTTAACTGTAGCCAGCAAGCTCGTACTTGTGAAATCCTTCAAGGTTTTCCTAAGCTTCTTCATTTCCGATGCTCTTATGCAGAGGTGGGCAGAGGCCCATGTTGTCAAGTTCCTAAAGTTAAAATAAAACCTTAGCCGAAAGTGCTCGTGTGGTGAGACTGGGCTTCCCTGTTCCATCTTTCCTGGCCTAGCATATTTTCCAGGAGGCTGCCTTGGGGCCCCCAACAGATTGATGCTTAAGCACTCCCACATCTCTGCTAACTGACTGGCCATGTATTCAGAGATCAATTTGAGAGTCAGCTGTTGGCGGGGGAAGGAATGTGCAGCTGTCCAAGGGTGGGGACAGTGTAGGCAGGCAGATGAACTTCAAAAGCTGTTTGGACTGCATTGCAGAAACACTGGTGGGTGAGTGAAGATACCTTAGTTGCAGGGAGGCAGTTGGAGGACGGTACAGTCAAGCTCTGTTCTTAGATGTTGCCTAGCATATTTCCTAGCTGAGCATAAAGATCTTAAAAGTCCACCCAGTGCACTGCAAATAGGAGAGGTGTCCCTGTCCCAGACAGGCAGGCAAAGGGATGTCACTCAGGCAGAAAATAAGAATGTGTTCGATGGCACCTTGAGACTAACTTCTTGGATCCTTTTTTATTGTAAAACATACTAAGCTTTGCATTTCAGCAGAATCTGAATTTAAGTAGGTAAAGCAAGGTGGAAAAATCAGCTGAAAGCTGGAAACAAAGTTTTTAAAGGGATATTATTTATATGATTTTTTTAAATGTAGAATTTGTATAGTATTGATAGAAAACACAGCCTTAAGCCCCCACTTTGATAGCCAAATGAGTTCCTGTTCAGCTCTCTCGTGTTCTGTATGTCCCTATAGTTTGACCTTCCTAAGAGCAGCGACTCTGATGTCTGCAACACTGTTTTGCACGTAGTGTTAAGCTAAATTTTCTTTACTTCCTTTAGTGTGGTATTGATAAAACAAACGCTGGTTCTTGTAAAGTTCATGCTTGAGGGAGATAATAAAATGTTCAGAATGTTGAGTGCATAAAGGTATATTGTGCAATGGTTGAGTTTTTTTCTCCCAGCTTCAGTAACTACTTGGGGAGATTCCATTCTATGTGTCAAGGGTGGCAGTGATCCTCCTAGGGAGAATTGTAAGAGACATTGAGTGTCTGCATTTTAATGCAATGACTGAGAAGCATAGAAGTACCTCTTTATCCTGGCCTTTGACACACACACACACACACACACACACACACACGGACCAATTCTAGCTATAATTGTAATATTGCCCAAGGGTGAAGCACACTCTCCTTTTTACAAAAGCAAGAAGTGTCCAAACTTCTAGAGTTTTCCTTTTAAAAAAATAGCAAATAGTAAAATAAACTCCCTTGATTTCTAGAGATCGCTTGTTTAAATTAAACAGATGGCCTTTTGAAGGTTGCTAACTGATAAAAACACACAACTCCATTTGCTTGGCTGGAGCTTGGAAACAATCTGGTGATTAGAACACAGGGAGTGAAGTGCAGATAATTCTGAATATTTCAGCTGGTAAAGAGGGTCACTGGGGACCCACAAAGACATACTGCTCAATTTGAGAGAGTGCTGCAGCTCTAAAAGCTGGTACTATGTGTGTGCAGACACACTTCCTTCCCTGCATTATTTCTGTAGTATTCAAAAATGTGCAGGCATTAGAAAGTGATCCCAAGTCTCCATTATGTGTTCCTTATAAGGAACTTAAGACTACTCAGAAGTGTGGAGCTGGCCTCCTTGCATTATTGCAGGGCAACAATTGAAAATTGCACGGTCACTTCCTTGCCGCTCCCCGCCAGATTCCATGATTCATGTTTAAGTGAATCCCATTCTTGAAAATGATACGGCCTCTGTCTAGCTTACTAGCCGTTTCAGGTTGTGTTCCCATGAGAGTGGTGCCAAAAATAGCCGCTCTGTATTAACAACTGTTTCCTCCATGGCCTATAATGTTTGCAAGCATACTCCAACATGTTGTGGACAAGTGAGTTCTTGCAGAGTTGTTCACTAAAGGTAGTTCCATTTTTGATTGCTTCCCTATGGAGATGGTAACGTGTTCACCAGCTATATTCAAATGAACATAACCTTCAGTAAAGTAATTCACATTCTGTTGGCATTATAATAAGAAGAATTCACGTTAGACATCTAAATGATTGTAAATGTGTCTCTGTAACTAGTACAGTGGTACCTCGGGTTACATACGCTTCAGGTTACATACACTTCAGGTTACAGGCTCCGCTAACCCAGAAATAGTGCTTCAGGTTAAGTACTTTGCTTCAGGATGAGAACAGAAATTGTGCTCTGGCGGCGCGGCAGCAGCAGGACGCCCCATTAGCTAAAGTGGTGCTTCAGGTTAAGAATAGTTTCAGGTTAAGTACGGACCTCCGGAACGAATTAAGTTCGTAACCCGAGGTACCACTGTATTGCCTTTCCAACCATCCATTGTTATAACAAAATTTCAGTTATATTTTATGTCCTTTTTCCAAAAAAAAAGGACAATGGATGTAAACTCCCACTCCCCCACCTCCGTCTGTGTGATGTATGAATTCTTGCTAGATGACCCATATTTCCTCCCCGTATGCTTTTAAATTACAGTTGCTCTCTTCTTATTTCTATAGTGAAACTGAATTGCTTCTAGAGTGCTATATCTTCATCCTTTCTATCACTGCTGAGGACTTGAAGCTTAGAGTTTCAAAGATCAATTAGTGTTGCTTTCCTTTTTATGTAGAGGTCTTGCCATAAAGCTTGCCATAACCTTTGGGACCAGAAAGCTCAGGGAAAGTTCATAGAGGCAACTAGAATTCTGCATTTTTAGAATAGTACCGTATTTTTCGCTCTATAAGACACACCAGACCACAAAACGCACCTAGTTTTTGGAAGAGGAAAACAAGAAAAAAAATATTCTGAATCTCAGAAGCCAGAACAGCAAGAGGGATCACTGCGCAGTGAAAGCAGCAATCCCTCTTGCTGTTCTGGCTTCTGGGATAGCTGCGCAGCCTGCATTCGCTCCATAAGACGCACACGCATTTCCCCTTACCTTTTAGGAGGGGAAAAGTGAGTCTTCTAGAGCAAAAAATATGGTCTTTTCTCTGGCTTGTGTCTTGATAATCTGTACTTTAATGCATGTTAATAGACTTGAGCAGTCAGTTTCACTATGTAATTACAGTACTGTTTGGTATTAGTCATTCTAAAAGATGTAATATATGCCTGACATGTTACTGTTTGTGTGTTTTTGCAGACCAGAGGAGACTAACAGAAGAGTGAAGAATGTAAGACTCATTCTCTTTTCATTATTTGATTCAAACATGCAGATGGTTTAAAAAACAAACTTGGACCTTTAGCTTAGTTAACCAAGCTTTCCCCTCTTCTTGAAAGAGGTCAAGTAGTAGAAAGATCCTTCAAATGGCACAATCTAGTTAAATGTAGTGTGTGCGGTGCGTTTTATTAGATAGGTTTACAACATATCTACAAACTCCATGCAACCAAGGTAAATTGCTTTTCAGATGGTAAGTGGGTCTCCCTTTACTATCTTGGACCTAAGGCCTGTTTGCTTATATCATGGTTGGGGTTTGTGTGTATGTTTCACTCTGGTGAGCGTATGCAAAGTTGGACAACGTTATTGCATATTTTTGTATGATAATACTTGTGCAGTCGGAGGGATGCAGGTGGCGCTGTGGGTTAAACCACAGAGCCTAGGACTTCCTGATCAGAAGGTTGGCAGTTCGAATCTCCACCACGGGGTGAGCTCCCATTGCTCAGTCCCTGCTCCTGCCAACCTAGCAGTTTGAAAGCACGTCAAAGTGCAAGTAGATAAATAGGTACCATTTCGGCGGGAAGGTAAACGGCGTTTCCGTGCGCTGCTCTGGTTCGCCAGAGCTGTACGCCAGCTCCCTCCGCCAATAAAGCGAGATGAGCTCCGCAACCCCAGAGTCGGTCACGACTGGATCTAATGGTCAGGGGCCCCCTTTACCTTTACCTATTTGTGCAGTAAGCTGCATTGATACAATCTGAATTTCAGCAGATCATGTATAATGTAGGTTCAAGGTTCAATAATGTTGTGTTAAAAGGAAATAAGCCATTCTGAACAAAAGAAACCAAACTCTGTTCCAAGAGAACTCAAATGACACTAATAAAGTATGTTATGTAAATGTAACAAGGAATTATGCAAACCATATGCATTCATTTATTTGAACACTGCTTACTTTAAAAATAATAGTAAGAGTTCTCCTGAGGTGCTTGTGCAGTTTGCTGACTTCAGTTCTTTTAAGACTGAATTCTGAATGGACTTGGCCAATTCAGTAACAGTTGTGCCAGTAAATGCAGTACAAAGGATATGCTGCTTATTTCAAGACCATCATGGTTTTTTTCCAAACCTCTGTATGTGAGTATACCATATTTTTCGCTCTATAAGACGCACCAGACCACGAGATGTGCCTAGTTTTTGGAGAAGGAAAACAAGAAAAAAAAAATTCTGAATCCCAGAAGCCAGAACAGCAAGAGGGATCGCTGCGCAGTGAAAGCAGCGATCCCGCTTGCTGTTCTGGCTTCTGGGATAGCTGTGCAGCCTGCATTCGCTCCATAAGACGCACACACATTTCCCCTTACTTTTTAGGAGGGAAAAAGTGAGTCTTATAGAGCAAAAATACGGTAATTTGGGAGTTTTCCCTTCTGCACCAGTGTAGTGGCAAGAGAAGTGTGGGGAGTGATGGAAAATGATTGCTGCTCCATTTCACCCTCCAAAGTATGCATGTTGTGCATGCAAACTACACTCACTGTGCAGCAAACCTTTTTCATGCTTGTCAAGGTCCCCAGGACCAGTGCCTGTAAACTGGCCAGAAAATACTAGCTTTAGCCATCAGTTTGAAGAAGGCCTCTGATAAGGAAAACATGAAAAGGAAAATCCTTTATTCAGACAGCACAGTCAATATGTGGAATTTGCTCCCACAAAAAACCCAAAAACCCCTAGTGATGGCCTTCAACTCGGATGGCTTTAAAAAAAGAAATATACAGAATCATGTAGGATAAAGCTATCAAAGGCTGCTAGCCATAGCGGCAGAGTTCTACCTCCTGTGTCAAGAGGCAAGAGGTGTCCGAGTGCCTGTTGCAGGGAACTGAAAATGGGGAGGCCACTAAGAAATGCTTTGGGGGTTTTCATAGGCATTTGTTTGGCTATTGTGAAAACGGGGAAGAGCTAGATGGAGCACTGGTCTCATCTAGCAGGCTATGCTTTTATGCTAATAGCAGGTATCAGTTGAGGAAATGTGTTAAAAATGTCTGTCTTGGAAGCAAGAAAGTAAGAAGTTTTATAATAAGCATACGTTTGGCATAATTTGTGTGTGTGTGTGTGTTTGTCTGGCTTCACATCATTATTCATAAATGTTTCGTTCCTTTTTAAATTTAGGTTTTGATTACATTATATTGGTTGGGCAGGAAAGCGCACAGCAACCCTTACTATAATGGCCCACAGCTAAATTTAAAAGCCTTTGAGAAATTACTAGGACAAGCCTTGACAAAGGTAAGGCATTCATGGAAGGAAAAGTAATTTCAGCAAAGATTATCTACTATAGCTGTGGAAAAAAGTGTTTGACCAGCTGTGCATGTTTTATCTGATTCAGTTTTCTACTTTTTGAGGGGAGGGGAATCTATAGCTTTAAATTTTCCTTTTTATATACTTTTCATTGCTGTAAGCCACTTTGGGCAGGCAAAAAGGCAGACTAGTAAAATAATAGTAATAATAATAATAATAATAATAATAATAATAATAAACATTGCATGTGCTTTTGTCCATTTGTGTGACACCCAGTTTGGCAGCTAGTTTTATAGGAGGTCACTTAGAAGAGGGAATGAGCAATGGGGAGTTGAGCCCACATCTACCCTGAACCTCCAAATGCACTGTCAACAAGTCTAATGGCTATACAGTCATACCTCGGGTTAAAGTCGCTTCAGTGAACGTTTTCAGGTTGCGTCCTGCGGCGACCCGGAAGTAACGGAACGGGTTACTTCCAGGTTTCGCCGCATGCGCAGATGCTCAGAATGACGTCATGCGCATGTGCAGATGCAGCAAATCGTGACCCGCAGACGCGGGTTGTGTTCTGCTCATGATGCGAACGGGGCTCCGGAATGGATCCTGTTCACATCCAGAGGTACTACTGTAGTCTCCCATTGCTCTGCACATGACTTTTCACTTCTGATATTGCAATTTTGGGGGAGGGAGCTGCTAACTGGAGAAATGGATTTGGCCATGAGAGTGTCATTTTGCAGATCCATAGCACAATGCTTTGTTACTCACAAGCACAATTATGTATCACTACAGAACTTTACTAGTTATAATTCACATTCAGCAGTAATTATAAAGTAGTGATTATATCTGTTTATTTTCTGTTTCAAGTTTCTTAAAGGCATTTCCCGATGCTATAAGCTTCCATTGAGAAGAACACCATTCATGTCACCCAAACAGAACACTTTGCAAAATTATCATCGCTAAAATCCTTTGATAATTTTTTTTAAATTACAAACAACAACAACAACTTTTCATTGCAGGCTCTTGGAGAATCCAGCAGTCCCAAACGAAGTGGAAGGGATAGCGGATACGGAGATATTTGGTATATTGAACGCAGTGACTCACTTTCATCATCTATCAGCCATAAGAGAGACGATTCCTTTGATAGCTTGGACTCCTTTGGCTCAAGATCTTCTGCAAGCTTTTCATCAGACGTAACTTTGAAAGGTGGCAGTGAAGGTAATATATTCTTTAAAATCTTACTAGCCATATTTGCTTGAGAGAAGTAGGACAACAAAAGCTGTAAAGGGTTAGATGCTTTTACATTTTGCCTTATCAGTCTTTTCCTAGTTTTATATATCCTGAGGTTTTCCAGACAAATGTCAGATAGCTAAAGAACATTCCCTTAAACAAGTTTGCTAGCTATCAAACAGCCGACTGAAGGAAATTCAATGGGGAATTGATACTAGATAGGTCATAGGACTCCCTCACTTCCAGTTTGACCCCCAAATACCAAGTACATCTGGCAGGTGAGCTGGAAGTCATTAGTTTCACCCAGGGCCTCTGCCAAACCTCTTTACCTCTGCAGTCAATAAAGTTGTGGCCTGATCTGACCCAAAATGTACATTGTCATATTTTGTTTATTTACTGTTCCTAAGACTGGCTGGGTGGTGGGGTGTGAGACACCCAGGCACGCAATTGAATAGCTGTTCACAATAGCAACAAATCCATTTGGGTAACTATGCTAATATTAACAGAGACTTCATAAACAGTTTCGTAAGGACTTCATGACCTCTGGCCTGCCATTCTCTGTTAGTTTTGTGGCACAGTATGTGATTTTTGACCGTCTGTTCTGGCACTGAGAAATAAATTGAAAAAAGTTGCTTCCAGTTCAGAGAGGGTTTTTCATTTAATATTATTGGTCTTGTTATTTCTATGGAGAAGTATCAGTTATAGAGCACAGTCATTGAGATCAACAGTTCATTTTGCAAGTGGAAATGAGGAAATGATGTAATTAATGCAACGTAACTAGGAAAACCAAAGTTCAGCCAGGTGAACTTTCATATAGCATCAGGACAAGCATCTAAAAATATTCTCTTGCTCTGTTTGCAATAAAAATCTTAAGAGGGCTTAGGTCAGCGCTGGCTTATAACAGAGTAAACTTCTGATGCTGAAATTTCAACTTAGAGGATTTCTGTGTGTTTTTGCTTAAAAGATTGTGAAAGTGACACAGATTCTGAAACACGCGCAAGAATGCATGATCCCAGTAAAGATGACATGTCGTACCGCAGAGTTTCTTTGATTGAACCCAAGCCTGCTGCAGAGTTCAATCGTTTCTTACCCAGCAAAGCTAAACCACCAACATACATGCCAGCGCCCTTGCGGAAGAGAAGAACAGAGAAGAATGAGGATAACAGAAGAAGCTGGGCAAGTCCTGTGTTTACGGAGCCGGATGGAACATTTTCAAGGTATTCGTGTGGTGTTTAAATGTGTTAAATGTTGCCATTGTGGCAAATGTTAACTTATCACTACAGAAGAGGCCTGGTGCAAGCATACCATTGTCAGTAGAGATCAGGGGAATAATGAGGGCATGTAATCTTCTCCTTCCTTCTGTGCAGTTCTGTTCCCCTTCCTGTTTATGGTTTGCTTTAACTATGCTTGCAGGTACAGCACACGGGATCTGTTCCGGAACTCCGGTCGGATCCTCAGGTATTCGCAACCGGAGGTGCCTGCTCTGCACATGCGTGCAGCGTGGTAGAGCGCTTCTGCGCATGCGCGCATGGTGGAACCCGAAAAAATACTTCCGGCTTTGCTGCGTGCATAACCTGAAGGATGCGCAACCAGAGGTGTGCGTATCCAGAGGTACCACTGTACTACGTTCTCATTTGATGCTAGCCAGAGTTGCCCTTACATTTCACATTTGGGTTTCAAACTCTTTTAACAGTGGTTAAAAGAAACCGTGGAAAAGGAGGGATTTCGTGTGAGAGACAGAAGGTGAGAGGGCTCATGAGTCTTCAGTAGGCTTCTGATTTTTCCTTTTCCTAACCATGACACCAGATCAACAAAGTTGCCTTTATGAAAAGGTTGACACAGTGTTTTTATATTTAAAAAAAGGGTGCCCCTGAATTTCTGGTAGGGTTTTTTTGTGTGTTTCTTTTTGAAGCTTGTTAAATTGATGTGTTGTTTATTAAAATATGACACACTCTTTTTGCTTTCCCATGTGACTTTTAATAAAACTTGCTAACTCTTTTTGTAAGGTAACAGAGTAAATATTCTGTTCATTTACTCAGATAATAAAATGAGATTAACTTGAAGTTCATAGAAGAATTTTTTCCCATTCCCTCCTTCCATTTGAAGCCATCTTTGTCTCTCCCAAAGCCCCTTTGGAAGGTCTTCCTAAATAATGTGGGGTGGTACACAGGGTGCTGCTGGTAAATGGCTGAACATAGCATTGCCTTATGCTGTGATTGTAGTAGAGCTGGTGACTAGGCTTACCAATTCTCATTCTGTAGCTTCATCCCTATTATGACTGATCTCAGCAGATGTGAAAGGAGTCCTTTACCTTCCAGCCAAAATAGCAGAGCAGAGAGTGGCTTTGCACATCCAGCTTCCCCACAGGTGACCTGCCAGTTTGATGGTAGTTCCTATTTGGAAGTTGAAAGGAAAGCTGACAGGATGATTTGGCAAAGTGCAGCCTTTTGGTGAAAATGGCTTTTGCTAGACCTGGATTTCTTTATGCCCAGCAAAATTATTCTTCCATGCTTGATGCTCAAGACATTGTACCAATGACCCATTACCCATGGTGCTGAAAGAGATGTGGTTAGAGGTCTACTTCGCTGGGTTCTTATGATTTACTCCTCAACTATCAAAAAATATCTGTAAACACACTATCTGTGAATAGTGTATTCTGAAGCCAGAGTTTCTTGATCTGCCTGTACAGAAACTTAAACCACTTCCCATGTGTATGTGTATGCTTTGAACAGTTTCCCAACATTTTTCTTTTGGTCATATGAAACAAAAATCTTCTGTTATAATGGCATTCTTTCATAGTTGCAGTGCTTTGATACTCAGAACTAATTTTGCTTCATTCACAAGTTTGTAATTTTTAGCCAAATATGTCATCTGTTCTGCATTCGACAACAAATTGTGTTTGAAAATATAACTTGATTGGGTATTTCGTACAGTAACCAGAGAAGAGCTTTGCAGCGAGAGATGGAATGCCATACATCAGCTAACGTTCTTTCAGGCTTCTCCAAATATTTGGAGGAGGAGGATGAAGAAGAAAAGACAATGGGCACTCCAGACATTGAAACAGATGACCTTTATGTTCGCAAAATAAATGCTGCAGTGTCAAACCCAAAACTTGCCTCTCATAAGTTTCTTCCCAAGTCTTGGATTCCAGGGGAAGAACTGCAGTGGAAAAAAGCGAAAAGGATATCTTTTTCCAAGCAATGGTATAAGGATATTCAAGGATTCAGGTTTGTTGTCTTGCATGTTCTTTTTTCATCCAAGCAGACCTTTTTTTAAAAAAAAAAACCCACACATGCTTAAGTGGCTCAAATCACTGCACGATTTGAGTTGCGGCAGGGGGCGTGGAGTCTTCACTGGCTGTTGCCTGTGGAAACTGAATTGCTGTTCTGTTCGATTTTTAAATGCAGCCTCTTCCTATACCAGTTATTTTAAGCAGTGTATTCAAACAGATTACTGAATACCATTTTTGTGCCAGAACTTACATATTCCCTGTTTTCCCCCTTCTTCATTTACGTGCTACTGTGCAGTAAAAGTGCAGATTCTGAAGAGGATCTTGCAAGAGTCCAGGCAAGCAACAGCCTGAGTAACTTGGGTAACAGTTGCAGAGAAGACTCAAACGGCATTAAACAGACTGCGGAACGTGCTGCAAAATTAGTACTACAAGCTGCAGAAGAAAACGTTAACTGTTCCTCTGATCTACCAAGGTTGCTACAATTGCATGAACTATGCTGTCCTGTGTGTACGGAAACCTGCTGTTTGCTAAAAGTTTAAAGTGAAAAGTTAATATGGATCGCTGCCTTTTGAACTTCCCCCCGCTATGTCCATACATGTTGGCTTACTGAATTCACACTACTAAAGCAGAGTGGATTTTATTTTTTGTGCTGGTCGGTGCTCTTGTCTCCTCTGCAATGATTGCTATGCTTTGCTGCTACGCAGGAGTAAAAGTGTTGTCCTTTTAAAAATATGTTGGAGTCGTAACAAGCCACATTTCAATGTTGCAGTGTGCACCCCTTTTCAGTTGCAAAGTGGTTTTTTTGGCATCTTTTGGTCTGCATTTCAGGCCTTGTTCTCACTGAGTTGGGAAACTTTTGAGCTCTAGCACTGAGGGCTAATTTGAATAAACAGTCCTTTTTAAAAAAAGCACCCCCAAATAGAAAACCTGACATATTGGTTTTATATGCCAGACACAGGTTTAGCACCTCAGTGAGAGCTAGGTCTCTGTTTCTACTAGTTAATGCAAGTTTTAATTTGTGTGTCTTTTTTATATCTCAGTCAGTTTTTATTTCTGCGGGCACTGCAAAAATATTCTGACGACTACCTGTCCTCTGAAACTAGAACCAAAATTGATCCTTCTTCAGGGCCTAGGCTCATAACATGCAGGAAAAAAAATTATTTTAGGCCTGGATGTGACCAAAGGGACAATGAAAATGGAGACAATTATCCAGATTTGGAAAATGATGATTTGTTTGTTCGTAAGACTGGTGCTTCCCATGTGAATCCGGTAATCCTCCAAGGTTTTCAGTATCTTAAGCAAGGTCCTCAGATAGAAGGAGAGATCGTTCTGCAACCCAGAGACGATGAAACTGTAATTCCAGATTTGGAAAAAGATGATTTGACAGTTCGCAAAGCTCAGTTTCAGAAGAAAGAAGTGCCCTTATCAGGTGCCCCAGATAGATACTGGCCTGCTCTCTTTCCGGATCCTTGGAGTCTTCCCACCAGAAATCCAGGCCAAATTTCTTTGTTTGCTTGAGAAGACAACAACAAAGATGAGAGACAAAGTGGTGGAAAGATTTTATCTCCTTCTTCACGGCAAAAGAAGGATGATATGTTGACCCGCAAGATGGAGCTGCTCAACGTAGGAGTCAATGTGCAGCCCATTAGTTTCTCTCCAGGAACATGCAGCAAAGAAGACATGGAAAAATGGGAGGCAATCAGAGAGGCCAGCAAAATCAGGCACAAGAAAAGGCAAATGGTTGAAAGGTCAGCTCAAGGCCATGCATGGATTGTGCTTGTATCCAAAATATTCAGAAATGGTGTTTTGGTTTTTTTTAAAGAGAGAACAAGGGACAGCAGCATCTTGCTTTCAACCATGCATGTCTTGGTGTGAAACTTCAGTCTGTGTCTTTGTATATTGTCCCATAAGTTGTCGTGTTGGTTGTCAAGCTCATCAACAATACAAACCACATACTTCAGGAGTTTCAGGACTGTTTGATCACTGGACTAATGCAACCTTCACAAATACATTTATTTAAAGGATCAGAAATAAAAGTTTCTGCTCACAACAGACTCAACATAGCTGGTACTTCAAAGTATTTGTTTGCAGACATTCTTGGAAATGTGTGCATTTCAAGTGTAGGAGTGGCTAAATGGGTATAATAATTTTTTTCTCCTTGCTCTACTACTGTTTAAGGTGTTTATATTCTTGTATCGAAAACACATCTGTGGATGAACAGGAGCAAACGTACATGTGGATTGCTTCTCCTCTTTCATCCTCTTTACCTCGCAGTCAACGTCTATGTGATCTAAATAACCCCTTTAAAAAGGTAAAGGTAAAGGACCGCTGACAGTTAAGTCCAGTCGCGAACAACTCTGGAGTTGCAGTGCTCATCTCGCTTTACATGGCCGAGGGAGCCGACATTTGTCCGCAGACAGTTTTTCCAGGTCATGTGGCCCTTTAGGTATGCTCAAAGGTTGCTCACAGGTGGAGCAAAGATCTCAATCTGCAACCGCTGACCTTTCCTAGCAGTTTATACATAGTTTTGCTTCTAAATTGCTTCTGTCCCATTCTTGACTCAAAAAGAACTCCCAACTTAAAAACACTTTGTGGAGCAATTATGAGTGTGAATTTAGATAGATAGATAGATAGATAGATAGATAGATAGATAGATAGATAGATAGATGATAGATGATAGATATTTAGTAATCCCACTAAAATATTAACAAGTAACTCTGTCCCAATCCAGCCACTGAAATCTAGCCCTAATGTGGGAGGACTTTACAACCTGTTCAGAAGATGTTTGGATACTAGTGAGCATAATTTGCGGTTGTTGACAACACCTATCTTCATGAAGAGACAGTCCTGGGTCAATCTTAATGAGGTTTCTTATATTCACCTGGTAAAGTGTTTTCCATCTTGAAATACCCTCATCCATTTCATTCTACATGGAGCATTCATTAGTCCTTCAGCAAACTTTGTATGTTTTTTTTTGTCTGCTGAGTAGTTCTAGAGCACCAATTATGCATGTTTCATTGGAAAGTATAACTGCAAGCTGGTTGCATACTTAAGCTTAACACAGTTAACAAATTTTAAGGAACAATTAGAATGAAACATGCGAGGCACCTTACATTTTCCCTGAATCTCCCTGCCTTCTTTTAGTTATCCGAGAGCTGTGCTCTGTAAATGGCTCAGAAAGGCATGGGCTGAATCTTTGCCCTAACATATTACTCTGTGACTGTTTTAAATAGGTATGCAATGATTATATAAACAACTACTAGATACAAATCAGAGCTGTAACTGTGGCTGTATTTAATGTGTTAAGCTTCTGATATGTCTTCTGTGTGTTTGATAGATTAAGACGTGCAATGCAAGATTTTTTGGGGGGGCGGGAACCCATTCATATTTGCATTTTTGAGATTAAGTTTAAGGAAAGTTTCTTGGTATTCACATTTTGTGGTCCATACTAAACCACAAAGAAAAAAGCAGGTGTAAGTATTTGTGTTGGCATTTGAATCTGAGAGTTTAAATTATCCTCAAAGTTCAGCCTAATATCTGAATTTTGATATTGCCATAGGGTTTTCATATTCACATTACTTTAGCAACTTGTTCATTGTTTTAGTTCATATGTTCTACATAATATTGTTGGCATATTTTTACACATGGTGAAAATGGAATGGGTAGTATGAACTTGTTTTGGTTTTCTGATTTCCCCCTCAGGCTGTTTCAAAAGATTACTGATGAGCATGGGTAAGTTTAATGAGAAAAGCATGGCAGAGCATAAAGATTCCAACATAATGCAATGGATTAACCATGCAGCTTATGCATTTGCAGCACTGGCTAAAGACTTGTGCTTTGAGGCAAAATGTGCATGATGCTTCATACTTGAGTGCTTAATTGGTTTGCACCGCAGTTTCTGGGATTCATTTAAGGCAGTGGCAGGAAATGTGGCCCTCCCAGATGTTGCTCAACTTCCGCCTTCCATCAGCTCCAATCCCTAGCAAGTATGGCCAATGGTCAAAGATGATGGGAGTTCAAGTCCAGCAACATCTGGAATGGCCACTAGTTCTCTACCGCTCGTCCAGGAGGAACTCTGAATGGCAAAGGTTTTGCATGTATGGAGGAAAATAAAATGAGCAGTTATAGTCTAGCAGCTTCTTAAAACAAGCTGGGAATATTTCATTGCTTGCAGCCTAGCATGTGGCACACTTCGGATAGAGTATGTTTGAATACTGTTTATGCAATCCACACTTCCCGGAAGTAGCTCCTTAAGCTAAATGAAAACTGACTTTCCGCCAGAGAAGTTGATGACCAGCAACTTTCCTGAACCAATAACTTGTGCCTGAGAATGGGATGTACCAGCAGCTGTGCCAGGAAATTTTCACAAGCAGTTTGACGGTGGTGTTTATAAGTATTTGTAGGTTTTCAGCAGCAGCCTCTTTGTACACAATCCCCTTTCAGCCTTGGAGAAAGATTGACAGAAAGAGAGCTTAAACGAGAAATATTGTGAGGCATCTAAGTGGTAAATATTCACACCAGGGAAAGGATTTTCATCTTTTAATGAGATAAATGGTAAAATTGGTATCCTTTAATAATACATTTTCCCCCACCAGTTGGGTTTTGCCTGTTCCATGCACCTAGAGAGTTTCTAAAATTGAGGAAATTATTTCACAAATGTTGACTACTAACAGCAAAGCCAGATATGATGAAATAAAAGTGCTTCTGGTACCAAACACAGCAAGCACAAACTTTCATTTCTTTCACAGCATATAGGAAAAATTACATAACGTGAGATTATGATGTCCTGGCTTTCCCTAGCATTGGTGCACATCAGGGACATTTGTAATATAGTTTTACCTTGGATCCTGAACGCCCTGGAACTTGGATGTTTTGGCTCCCGAACGCCGCAGACCCGGAAGTGATTGTTCCAGTTTGTGAATGTTCTTTGGAACCCAAATGTCTGATGAGGCTTCTGCAGCTTCTGATTGGCTGCAGGAGCTTCCTGCAGCCAATCAGAAGCCACAGTTTGGTTTTCAAACATTTTGGAAGTCGAATGGACTTCCGGAATGGATTCTGTTCAACTTCCAAGGTACGACTGTACTTTGAGAGTAAGATGTGAGACATTGTACTACATCTTATAGGGTGGGTGTGGGAGTGAGGTATATGATGACTACTCACCCCCCCAAAAAAACAACAACAACCATGGCCACATTTTATAGTTACATGTAGTTTGGTCATGAAACTAAATGTGAGAGTCATTGAAGAGGGCAGCTGCACTAACATAGCTATAAAATGTGGACTTCCAGGATTCAGGTATTCTTAGATAATGTTTTAAGTCTTCTTAAAATCTCTTAAGCACCTATTCTCATTTGGGGTGATGAGAATCCCAATAAGCTGGGTTCTAGCCACCAATTGCCCAGGAAGGCAAGGAAGCATGTGATAGAATTCTGGGATAGCTCTGTGTCCCTTAGGCTCCTCTTCCAGTTCCTTCCCTGATAGAGGATAGAGCCAGGATAGAGCTTCTCCTGTATGACTCCTCTTCAGCATATTTTGTAATTATTATTCCTTCTTAGTTTTTCCCCCCTTTTAGTCTCTCATTCCTCCCTCCCCCCCAAATTCTCAAAGGAGGAAAGAAAAGACCTTTGTATTGTCTATGAACCTTCTCTCTTCTGTTTGCCTAGCCTCCCTTCCGCACAACTCCCTCTGGAAGGACAGCAAAAACTTCAACAAAGAAAACAACACTTGAGGGATGTTGGGGAGGAAGGAATACAACACTTTTGCTGCCACACCCAGGGGCCTTTGTGCAAGCAGTGCCACCGGTATCTAAAGACCACCAGTTAGCAGCATCCCTGCCCATTCGACACCACTCCCAGCCAACAGAAATTTCTCTCATCTGGGGCAGCATTTCTCAGGACGCAGTGGTCCGTAAGAAGAAGAAGAAGAAGAAGAAGAAGAAGAAGAAGAAGAAGAGGAGGAGGAGGAGTTTGGATTTGATATCCCGCCTTTCACTCCCTTTAAGGAGTCTCAAAGCGGCTAACATTCTCCTTTCCCTTCCTCCCCCACAACAAACACTCTGTGAGGTCAGTGGGGCTGAGAGACTTCAAAGAAGTGTGACTGGCCCAAGGTCACCAAGCAGCTGCATGTGGAGGAGCGGAGACGCGAACCTGGTTACCCAGATTATGAGACTACCGCTCTTAACCACTATACCACACTGGCTCTCCTCTTTATGCTTATGAGGGTTACTGTGAGAGAACTTGCTGAGGGTTACTGTGAGAGAACAGAAGGCCTTAAAAGAGGAGACATTCACACATTGACCATCACCCACAGTTATGATACAGAAGAGGCCTGTGATGAGGGAGAGGGTCCCCTTCAGTTGGGTGTGGAGTCCTCAGTGTTTTCCCCATAAGGCACCATCTTACAGGCCAGTTACTATTTTTGTACACGAAAGCACCTGCATTGTGCCCTCCCGTTCCCCCAAGGGAAGATTCCAGTTTAGCACTACCTTCCCTCCTTCTAGATGAATGAATTATTAGAAACATTAAGCAGCCAGACCTGGCAGATATCTCTGCTCAGCTGTTTCACCAGAGCAGAGAAGGGACATCTCAAAACCTCTAAGGTCCTCCCAGGTTGGCCACCATATCAAAAACACCCATCCAAACAGCCCCTTGGCTCCACCCCTTGTTCATCAGAAGGTTCTCATCAAGGCTGTACAGTCTCTCGTGACCTTACAGCCTCATTCCAGTTGCTTGCCTTCCAAAAGGAATGAGAAAAACAAAGGCCATGTAGCACTGCTCTTGTACCCTCTACAGAGTAGTACAATTCCCATGAGTATCTACAAAGTGATTGCAATTCCCGTGAGTATCCCAGCAAAGAAGAGGGAAGCTGTTTTCCTGAGGAATTCCCCCGTCTAGTCTTTTCATAATGAGGATTCCATGCCTTTACCATCTAAGTCTTATCTCCATCCTAGATTTACAATCTGAAACTCCAGAAGCTTTTCAGCCAGTTTCCAGATGCGCATCTGTTTTTACTGAATCCAAGCCAACTCTTCTTTGTTGTTGTCCATTTTCCCCCTAATATGATTGATCAGGAATGGGCAAATAGCTTACAAAGCAAAAAGGTTATTAGTTTACCTCAAAAGCACTATAAATTACCAGACAAATTTATGGAGACACTTAAAACCTCAGTAGTAGAGACTTCACTGCCAGCACTGCTATTGAGCTCTGTTATTCTCTGGAGTAATGATTCTCTTGAAAGGGGCCATGGAGATGGGGAGTAAGGAGCAAGCCAAGCTCTTGAAAAGAGTCACGATGCCTCTGCCTTACCCCTCCAAATCACCACCACTTTTTGACAGAGCTACAAGAGCTGGCATACCTCTTGCCTGATGCAAGGACTTGGGTGACACAATCCTTCAAACGAGCTCTACCAGAATTGGCCTGCCTTGTTAAAATCTATAAGAACAGAGGTGGCTACTATCTCTGGAAGTGTTCCTCCCCCCTCGATAGCTATAACAGCTCACAGAGTATCTGAATTGGAAGCCTTCTTTGTGAGAGAAAATGTGTGTAACTTCCACAAAGATAGTCAGATGAATCCAGCATTTATTCCAAAAGTCAGCTTGTTCTTATACAAAGAACAAGAACTGATCCTAACATCTTTTTTGTCTCCAACTCTCTCATCCAAGGCAGAGGATTTGACCTCCATCAAACTTAGTCAGATGGATCAATTCCCTATTGGTCTCTTTCAACCCTATATCTTTAGGTAAGAAAGTATCTAGTGCGACCTTGGTCATAGGCTTAATCCTGCACCTTTCTAGCCTGTGACACTAAACATTTAACAAAACCTTGCTGCATCTCATCACACTATACAAGAGTAGCTTCACCAACAAATGCCCTATTTGTGAAGATCTGCAGGGCCACCTCATCAAAGTCTTTCTCCACAGTAAATCTTTTCCACTAGTCCTTTTTTTACATCCTGACCCACCTGAGTATCAAGTTAGCATAGTTTCTTATGAGAGAGAGATCAAATATTTAAAAAGTGAATCCACCATTTTTCTCTTGTCTTGACACAGTAGTGTGTTTCTTACTGTTTTGGGAACTGTATATACTATTTCTGTCTCAAGCTTTGCCATGAGACAGAACTAGACAAGGTTTTCTCTGCTTTCCTAGGAAATTGGTGGCTATAACTCAGCATTTTGGATGCCTCATTCATCCCAACTGGAAAGAATATTCGCAATGAGTAACAAACATTCCTTTCTAGCTATTATTTATCAGACAATCCACAACATAAAGCAAGCTATGAGAGAGAGAGAGAGAGAGAGAGAGAGAAGACGATACCTTCCATTGTCCCTGAACCCAGTCCCAAAGAAAAATATGCTTTGCACAGCAGTATTTTGAACTATATTCTTACTGTTTGTATGGGATTGTAGTCGTGGCAGACAGCTTTTGCAAACGATATTTTTGTTGGAAAAGCAGGATGAAACAAATATTTGCAAAGACGTATATGAGCAGATACCCTAACAACACTAAACTAATGAAAATACAGAGCATGATTGCTACTGAAATGCTGCTTAAAGGAAAGCTCTGGCGTTTACTTTAGATAATGCTATCAGATTATATGCATGTAGGTTGCCTTTGTTTGGGAGCTGAATGCTGCATTGTAGAATACAATGTGCATGAGCGTTTTGTGACTTTATTTCAATCTTGTCTAATGTCTCTCGTGGCTTTTTGGCAATGACCTTTGGAAATGGACTAGATTTGTAGTAAGTATTCAGATAACTCCACAATAAGTGGTTATATGCTGCCAAAATCAGCAAGGGTATGAAAGAGTACTAAAGACTTAGCTGGAATTTCCATTCCTTAACGGAGGTTACATGTAATATATTTAGGTCTTCTGTTGCTTTAACCAAGTTAATAGTTGTAAAGTTGTTTGACTTCCTGGGGAAACTTTTGACTTGAGTAATTTCTCCCCCCTATAAAAACCATTGACTTGTAACAAACATTGTAAACGTTTAAAAGTGCAAATACATTAGATTTTTAAGCCTTTTTAAACTTCATTCAGTAACTGGGGTGCAGTCAATGTTTCTATTATTTCATACAGTGTGATCCTAAGTATGTTTACAGAGTAGTAAATCCCACTTGATTTAATGGGACTTGCTCCCCAGTGTGTGTTGTTCAGAGTACAACCATAATATTTAACTTCCAGCTTCATCAGCCAATATTGGGCTTTATGGTCTAGCCCTCTGTAAGCAGTTAAAGAGGGAGACATTGTTTGTGATGACAGCCGGAAATGATTTGCTGTTAAAGTGACACCACATAAACAAAACAATCCTAGTTCTAAAGTATATTATGAATATCAGAGTGTACTGTGGCATATTCCTGTCAAGCGAAAAAACCCTCTCTTAGATGGTCATTAAATATAAACATCTGAGCACCAACAATATAAATGTATAATTTTAAGTAATCACTTGCTGTTTTTAAGTGCAGTTCGGTTTATTGAATGGATAGTTTAGCTCCCTCTCCAAAGCAATTGTTACTCCACATTAAGGCCATTTGAAACTTAAACATAATGATGTGTTGACTCCTAGGAGCAAATCCTTGAATGATGTCAGTGCAGATGAGCTCCAAACGATCCGTCAGTTGCGTTATGAGGAGCTTCAGAGAATAAGATCTCAGCTACAAGAACAAGATGAACAATGGCAAGATGTAAGTATTGTCACACAGCACCCCAATTTCCACCAGCAGAGTGAGATTCCAGGGGTTGCAGGAGCTTTCACCAGGGTCTGTGTTTCCTTTTTGAAAAAGAGGCACAGTGGAAACTGCAATGTCTTTATGATAGATCAGGCTTCCTCAGCCTCGGCCCTCCAGATGTTTTTGGCCTACAACTCCCATGATCCCTAGCTAGCAGGACCAGTGGACAGGGATGGTGGGAATTGTAGTCCAAAACATCTGGAGGGCCAAGGTTGAGGAAGCCTGTGATAGATGGTTTAATTGCACATATACATAACCTGTACCTGCTGTGGCGGGGGTTCTGAACATTACATTCCAAGCAGCGCCACCTTCTTCCAAAAGCAGCAGTCTCCTTGCTCTGCTGCTTACCTTTCTCTGAGAAAGGTCATATCCCACCTGTTCTAGCCTTGCTAACCTAAGCCTTGCTCTTTTGTAATGCACAAATAGTCCCTACTCATCTGTATTCTCACACCTAGGTCTTCGATCCTTTGACCCCCAGGCTCTCACCTCAAAGGAAATTAGGCTGTCTCCAGTACCTTTGAACCCAGGTTGACATCACCGGATTAAGGGTGTCTGGCACATGGTCCAGCACACAGGGTTTGATTTAGATGGGCCCTCACACATGCTAATTAAAAGATTAACGGGGTCTAATTACGCATCTTAAATACACACCCGGATTTATCTTAAACACACATGAGTCAAGCTATCTCCTCCAAGGAAATTAGCTATGATACTCTCTAACCTTAACCTATAAATCTATAACCTACAAACCCCCTAACTTATAACAGCATGTTGAAGATGCACTTTAAATCCTGCAGCATGAAGATCTTTCAACAGTCAAAGGGAAGCAAAAAGTGGGTGGTACCAATTAGAATTCAGTGCTCCCTACTTTCAGATAAAATGCAAAGTCACTTTGCAAATAGTCTAATTCAGGCCTAAAATAAGAAAAAAGGAATGGGTGGGCACAGGAAGAGGTAAGCACTCCACTCCCATTTATTCTGCCTTCAAATCTCTGCCTCCTTGCCTTTCATTTGAGAGGGGTGTGGCAATTAAAAAGATCCAGATTTGTTTTCTGGGCACAGAGCCTTGGGAGCACCACAGGGGGCACTGCAACTATGATGCAGAATGGAAGGTAAGAGGCAGGGGGCACTGAATTTGGCTTGAGAAAAGGACGCTGCTGACATTTAAGACATCAAGGTCCACCACTGGCCATGATTATGAACCGTTATTCAGTTTTAAGTCATCGAGGAATCTAGAGTTTGTGGCCACTTCAAGATAGCACAGGACAAGAATCTGTATACCTCTCTTTGGGGAAAAGGGAGAGGAATTATATTTTCTCTTGCAGCTCTTTTGTCTTGCACTGCAAGACAAAGGGCTGCAAATGGCAAAAACTGACTGTAGGGATGGCACTGTTGTCCGTGGAACAAAAGCAGGGGAATTCAATTCCCAGCCTGGGCGGTTTTCAAGAGGTGCCAAGGGGCTGTTAAATCGGAATGCCTCATGCAGGTACCCAAGGTACATTTTGGGATGGACAATTTTTCCAGACAACTGTCATTCCCATAATTAAAAAGAGCCTGTCTTTCTATACTGTATCCAACAGGAAACAATAAAAAACACTGTCCTAAACTGTTCTGACGAGCTAAATATAAAATACACACTTGTGTTCCTGTTTTGTTTGAACAAAAGTCTCTTTAAAATTAAACCTCCATTGACTGTTGTTGTGAAAGGGAAGAGCAAATATTTACACTGACAGATTTGCTTTTGAGACAGTGTACTTCCTTTTCCCTTGCAAAGTCTTTATGCTTTTAAACATGAGACTACTATCTTCTTCATCTGAACAGAAGACAGCCACTGCCCAGCTCTTTTAGAGACAATTTTGCAGGAAGATACTTGAGAATGCAGGAACACTAGACATGTAGAGTGAAATTAGAGCACCTGAACATCCAGTCAGAATGAGCACTCTTGGATAGGTAATGAGATCCGTGAGCATTCACAGTAGTAGCTCTTACCAAGGTCTGTAGCAAATGCAGTGTTCATTTGCCTGATTTGTACTCAGGATTTGGCAAAATGGAAAAGCCGTCGTAAAAGCCACACTTCTGACTTGCAAAAGAAAAAGGAGGAGAGAGAAGAAATTGAGCGGAGAACTTCTGAGAGTTCCGAAAGACGCGGCAAATCTCTGAGAGAAATGCAGAGGGACAGGTAACGTTGGCAAACAATATTTAGCATTTCGAACAGCTCCGTCTGTTTATTTAGAAGTAGGTTGCACAGAGTTTAAATGACTTCCTTTGTAGAAAGGGTTATTAGGATGGAGCCAAAAACCCTTTTCAGCACTCAACTGTGACTACTTTATTTCAGTCTTCAGCTTTTCCTCCATGGTTACTGATTCCTTCAGTACTTAAGCAGTGATTAAGGTGTTTTCTGCTAATAAAATGATTTTCACTGTATGTTAATCACCTTAGTAGATTTTTTTTTAAAGGGAGTGAATAATTAAGTTCTAATTTAAGTTTAAATTTATGGATCCCTTTTCAATCCTATTGCCTTTTCAAACTAAAATGATTAGTAGGGTTCGCACCCAGATCCTAAAACTATTTGTGTGAAGTAAGACCCATTGATTGCATTGTGACTTGCTTCTGACTAAGTATGCCGGTAAGAGTATTTGTGGTTGTGCTTCTAGCTGATAGGGTGAGGTCTTTCTAGATTATTAAAAAACCTGATGTTTGTCTGAGCTATTCTTGGTTACAATACGACAAAGGCTTTTGCATGTCTTTGTCCCAACTCAACTGTGGAGTGAATGCAGCGTGTTCCCAGTGGAATCAGAAGCAAATGAAAACCTTTATTAAGCCTTTATTAAGCCATAACAAATAAAATGGCAACTGAGAGATGCCCGTATTGAAATATCTCTATTTTTTTAAATAAAACCCTTTATTTGAAAAGCCTACATTGAACCACAATAAAACATACAAGCTGCAGTACATGATCGCAGCATAATCCTGAGAGTAAGTCTCAGTGAACTCATTATTACAGGATTGCACTGTATATTGGGCACCCAGCCATAAGAAATGTCTTCCTAAATGTGCCAAAGAGAAGGTTATTTGTGGAAACCCCTAACATTCTGAAAATATACATAGTACTATATGTAAACAGAGAGAGAATTGTGATCTCTGTTTATGAGTGCACGGATTAAGCTTGTATAATAGCCACAAACTTTCCACTGTTCTGTCTTCACTTCAGAGTACACCTAATAGCGAAATGATGACTGAAATCCCACCTGTTCTTTATGTCACTGATGTCGTAATGCACTTTTCCCCCCCTCAGGGAGGGCAGAGATCAAGGGCTCTATAGCAGCGCTGAGCATCGAGCGGAAAACAGGCGAATGTATTTGTCAAACGACGATGTGTTTAGTGGAGAGCAAATTCCTTCAAGGCCTTCAAAAGAGCACCTTGTTGAAAACGATGCTGCCGGCTCCTTGAAGAGTGAAGAAAACAGTCAAGAGAGCAATAAAGGAACGGAGAGCTATGCAAGAATCGAATCTCAAGCTCCACCTAAGAGTGTAGCAGAAGAAAAGCACCAGCCCCCTTTGTCAACATATCATTCAGTAAATGCACCAATTGGGTCAGCTCGGGTTTCAGCTTCTCTCCCAAGAAGTTACCAGAAAACCGATACGGCCAGACTAACGTCTGTGGTTACACCTAGGCCCTTTGGTGTCCATTCGAGAGGAATCTCATCACTTCCTAGGTCATTTACGGTAAAAATAATAATAATCATCTTCCTAATGTCTCTGTGGGTAATTCTTCTGAATAAACTCAAAGGAGCTTTCACTCCCTCCCCCCACCATGTAGAAATGATTAAAAATGTGTTGCAGTGACAATGAGTAGTTACCTGGTCTAGTGCCTAAAACATATAGACAGATGTTTCTGTATAAACTAATATTTGGGGGGAAATGATATTAAATTGTTTTACCTCATAGAGACTTGCAACAGACAATGAAGTTGCTGCTAAAGGAGAACAGAGCAATAAATGCATTTTGTGACGCTTCTTTTCAGTGGATCTGTGTCTCTGTTACGTCAGGCTACCCCAACTCATGATTTTAAAGGGTTTAATTTAATTACCTTTATATACTGCAGCACAGGCAGTTTATTCCTTGAATATTTTACTCTGACCAAAGCTATATAATTTTTACTTTTTGAAATCTACTTCATGATGCCAGTCAGTAGCGGGCAGAGGGCCTGAGAGAACATGAGGAAGAAGGCAAACATTTAGGGCGACATGTTGAAACCAATTTTAAATAATAATCTTTTTTAAAAAAACAAACAAACCACCAACTACTACCTCCTTTCCTAGATGGATGACGCCCCAAAATATAATGGAGAAGTAGATGTGTCCAAGAGAACTCAGTACGCATTCACCAGCAATTCACTTTCTAAGCCAGAAGCTGGACAAAGCCAATCTATAAGTGACCTAAGAAGTGCTGAGGACAAGACTTGGACAAGATACTCATCTGTTGAGGACAAGACAAAGACAAGACAATCGCCTACAGAGAATGCTGCCATTGCAAGCGAAGGTGCAGATGTTCATCACTTGGGCCCTAAATCAGAGCATTATACTACCCATGACTCAGCTGCAGCTGGGTCTTCAGCATCAGAACAAACAAGCCATCCAGAGACTGAGGTTTCAAGAGCACAAGTGAGTATGGAGAGATGCTAGCATTTACACACTGTAATGCTTTGTTGGCTGTTGTTGGTGTGCTAGGAGCAGTGGGCACAGGAGGATATGCGTGGTCTCTGTCCAAGGTGAACTGTAATTTTACATTTGGCAGGCGAGACTAGGATAGGAGGAAGTTCTTTCAGATACAGGATGGAAAATAAGGCAGCAGCATTGGCTAGGGCAGTTCAAGAGAGGTTTAGCCTGATGAGTAGAGTTATTTAGATTCAACACACACACAATGCATGCTAGTAAATTGACCTGCTAGTAAGTCCCTTCCAGAAAAGTTAGAATTGTGGCTTGGGGGAGTAGGGCCATGTCAATAGTTTCCATGAGGATTTTGGATTTTTGCAGCTGTAGAAATAATTTCTAGAAGTAGTATGGCAGCAAATTAAAGATAATGGTCCATATTTTCTACATTAAGGAACTCATCTATTGGTGGTTAATCTTTGATCCTTATGTTAAATTTGTAGCTGGTTTAGTTGTGCTTTTTAGTGGTTTTTGTACTGTTTTCGTAAGTCGCTTGCAAGATACAAGGCAGGAAGGGCAAGCTGCAAGTGTTTCAACTGAACCTGCACAAAAAAAGATTGAGGTGGCATTAGCAAGGCAGCATAATGAAATTCTTAGGGCAAATAATAGATAAACAATAGCTGAAACTGCCATGTTTGGGTTGAAGCCTGAATTACTGAAGGCAACAGTAGGTTCATTCATCTTCCCAAGACACTTTGCGGATCTAATTGATGTCCTGACGGATGTGGGCCTGAAATTATTTTCCAGTTTGTAATATAAACATGCAATTGTTGGGCGGCTTGTTCTGCTAGTTCTGCATTCACAATTATTTGCAACACTTTAACCAGGTGTTGCGGATTATCTGACTTTTCCCCTGCAGTCAGTTTAATAATATAGTACATTTCCATCCTGGAAGGGCAAATGTCTTAAGAAGAGATTAGCTTTCAACATATGTTTATAAACTTGCTAAGTATTGTTCACCTTCCATTTTTATTTTTCTCTATCTTGTTCTTGCTACGCCCAGCTCATGAACTCTTCAGCTAAACTTTGAAGTGAATCTCCTTCCATCATTCTCTTTTCAAACTGTTTCTGCAAATGCTGACATCTTGATCCACAGACTAAATAAGCAGATGTGCATGGGAGAAGGTGTCTGAGCTTGCGCGCTGTTTGATGGTGTCTTCCTAACTGTTCCCATTGGTAAAAGAAAACGGAACAGCTGTAGGGTTACCATATTTCAAAAAGTAAAAACCAGGACACCCCAAATTTTTTGTAGATAAATTTGAGTTTCTTGTACAAGAAGGCCAAAAAGCCCGCACTTTTTTGATTGACTTGCCTAAGATCCACGACAGAGGCCACCTTTCAGAAATTCCCCTAGATGTCAATTCCACCTTTGAAATCCCGGTAATGTCCGGGGAAATCCGGACGTATGGCAGCCCAAACACCAGAATGTCTCTTCATTAATGGCAAATGCTATGGCACAAACATCACTTGGGTGTATAATTCTTCTGAGCTTGAACTTGCCCCACTGCTATGGGTTTGCAGTCTCGCAAGTTATGAAAGTGATTTAATTCTAGCTTCAGAAACTAAAGCTTTTTTAATGATACTGACAGAAGCTGTTGTGTCCCCATCATTCCTCACTTAGAAATGTAAAATTAGTGTCAGCAGCCAGAACTTTGGTACCCTTGTATCTTGCAACACTTAATGACTATCCACTTAGTGAGTAGCATTCCTTACTTTCCTTATAAGTATTATTTATCTTAGAGCAAGGAAATGTTAATTAGGCCCTGGGATGTTGATCCATGAAGCAACTTTCCCAGACAGTTGTCTAATCCCTAGGTGTGGCTTTTTAAAAAAGTGTTTTCATTTCAACCCATATCTTAAAACAAATCTTCATGCAACCCTTTTCTAACTTTTCTAAAAAAAAAAAAAAAACCTCTTACAATTGATTGTCATTTGGGAAGCCAAATAATAAGTTTCCAAATCAGCGTAATTCATTTTGCAATTCTAAGCATCTGAAATATGTACCCCAACTAGTACAATAAATGCAGGTATAATGAAAGGGGAGAAGCAGTGACAGCAGATAGTAGAGTCTTGAGTGAGACATATCCTGGTGTCAGGGAACTGCCATCAGTGTCCAAGGGAGAGAGCAAGCTCCAAAGGGATCCCAGAGAGCGTCCCGGGAGTGGGAGAGGCAGCCCATCTTCTGGGGAAGGGAATCAGCGTAGCTCCAGTGGAGAAGGGGGGCAGATGGGGGAATCGGCGAGGCGGTCCCATGACTCCTTGCCGGGGACCAGCGGGGAGAGGAAGAGTCCTCCGCTGCCTACGCCCTCCTTGCGCAGAAGGCTTCCGCGCAGGGAGAGTAGGAGGAGACTGGGCGTCAAAGAGCTTCTTTGCTGGAAGAAGTTTAAGAAACGCCCACTGACGGATTCTGCCAGCGATTGAGACAGCCACGGGTGAGTGGCTGTCCGGACAGGAAAGGTTCACTCAGGCAACCCAGCCAGGTGTTGGCACAGGCTTACGCACGAGCAACCCCTAGAACCATTACACCTGGTGATTCAGATCACATCCACACTATGCATTTAAAGAATCATGGGAACTGTAGTTCATTAAGAGTGCTGGGAATTGCAGCTCTGGGATGGGTGAACTACAGGACTCAGGATTCTTTGTAGGAAGCCATGTGCTTTAAATGTTTGGTGTGGATGTGACCTCAAAGATGGGGAAGCCTAGCCTCTGTGCATTTCCCCTTTACCCCACATATATTTAGTACAGCCTCATTGGGTCAGACAAAAGATCTCTCTGAGCCAACATCCTGTTCACTACAGTGACCAGCTAGATGCCTCTGGGAAGGTCATGTGAAGGCAACAGCCCTCTCCTTTTGTTCCGAACAAACATTTATTCCCAGTCAATTTATTCTCAAAGTTGCAAGGAGATTGTTGATTGCCTATTTAGCTGCTGAAATGCAGGTACGGTTTGAATAAAAGGCAATAATTCTTTTGTGCTTGAGCCTCTGGGAAGCAGAAATTTGAGCCTGGGTGCAATTCAATGCACTAAATAATACCCCAAGACGAGAATTGTTTCTGCTGCTTAGACAAAGATAGCACACATTGATTGGGGGAGCAGTGCATTTAAATGCATTCAGTGAGATTTAGAAATCAGACTACACTTTATGGCAAGGGTTTACTCTTACCTTAAATGTTGATTATATATTTATCTTCTCCCAACCTGTAACATCAACACCCTTTCCCCTTAAGGTAGAGGTGGGGACCCTCCAGGTGTTGCTGGACTCCCACCATCCCTGGCCATCGGCCACGCTAGCTGGGAATGATGTCAGTGGTAGTCTGACAACATCTGGAGGGCTGAAGGCTCCCCATCCCTGCCTTAAAGCTTTTCCATTCAGGCTTGCTCTCTGTTGGCTGTGAATATGTTTATCCATCATTGCCATTGTGCTTTAATGCCACCTTTAGGATAGGCCAGGAGAGGAATCCGTGTAAATAAGTGGGTGGGTTACCTTTTGCAGTCCAAGGGCCACATTGCCTCTTGGGCAGCCTTCTGGGGGCCACATGCCTGTAGTGGATCTGTAGCCAGCTAGACGCAAAAGCAGCAGGTGTCGCTTTTCCATTTTGTACAGTAAGGGTACATTGCAGTCACAAAAAAGTCTCAGGTTTGTACAAAACGGTCTTGCCAGAGTGGTGTATGCTCTAGTTATCTCCCGCTTGGACTACTGCAATGCGCTCTACGTGGGGCTACCTTTGAAGGAGACTCGGAAACTGCAGTTAATCCAAAATGTGGCAGCTAGACTGATGACTGGGAGTGGCTGCCGAGACCATATAACATCGGTCCTGAAAGATCTTCATTGGCTCCCAGTATGTTTCCGAGCACAATTCAAAGTGTTGGTGCTGACCTTGAAAGGCCTCAATGGTCTCGGTCCTGTATACCTGAAGGAGCATCTCCATCACCATCATGCCGCCCGGACACTGAGGTGTCATTCATAGGAACATAAGAGGAGCTTGCTTGGTCATCCCAGTTGCTTATCTTGTCCAGCAACATGTTCGGCCCAGGATACCTGAAGGAGCGTCTCCACCCCCATCGTTCAGCCCAGAAACTGGGTTCCATTTCTGAGGGCCTTCTGGCGGTTCCCTTGCTGCAAGAAGTGAGGTTAAAGGGAACCAGGCAGAGGGCCTTCTCGGTAGTCGTGCCTGCCCCGTGGAACGCCCTCCCAGCAGATGTCAAGGCAATAAACAACTATTTTACTTTTAAAAGACAACTGAAGGCGGCTCTGTTTAGGGAAGTTTTTAATGTCTAACACTGTATTGTTTTTAATATTCGGTTGGAAGCCACCCAGAGTGGTTGGGGAAACCCAGCCAGATGGGTGGGGTATAAATGTTTGTTTGTTTGGCCAAAGTTGTTGAGCTTTTGTGGGGGGGAATTTGGGCCCCCCCCATCAACACTTCCGATATGGGCTGCCATACTCTCGGATTTTCCCAGACATTTTAAACCAATTTATTCCTTGACAATGCTTTCAGCTTTGAATCCTCCAGTCTTTGGGGGAGAGGTGTGCTAATGTTTTGATATTTCTGTAATAGTTGGGGTGTATTGAACCACACATATTCCCAAAAGAGAATAGGACTACCAGTAGCTACTATCTACTGTGACTATGTTCTACCTCCACTGTTGGAGACCAGTACCAGTTGCTAGGAAGAACCCCAGGTGGTGAGGGTGCTATGGCACTCAGGGTCTGCTTACGGGTTTCCTATACGGATCAGGTTAGTCACTGTAAGAAGAAGATACTGGACTAGATAGGGCTTCCGGCCTGATCTGGCAAGCTCTTCTTCTGTTCAAATTTAGGCCTCTTGTTGTTGTTTAGTCGTTTAGTCATGTCCGACTCTTTGTGACCCCATGGACCAGAGCACGCCAGGCACTCCTGTCTTCCACGGCCTCCCGCAGTTTGGTCAAACTCATGCTGGTAGCTTCAAGAACACTGTCCAACCATCTCGTCCTCTGTCATCCCCTTCTCCTTGTGCCCTCAGTCTTTCTCAACACCAGGGTCTTTTCCAGGGAGTCTTCTCTTCTCATGAGGTGGCCAAAGTATTGGAGCCTCAGCTTCAGGATCTGTCCTTCCAGTGAGCACTCAGGGCTGATTTCCTTAAGAATGGATTGGTTTGATCTTCTTGCAGTCCATAGGATTCTTAAGAGTCTCCTCCAGCACCAGAATTCAAAAGCATTGGTTCTTGGGCGATCAGCCTTGTTTATGGTCCAGCTCTCACTTCCATACATCACTACTGGGAAAACCATAGCTTTAACTATATGGACCTTTGTTGGCAAGGTGATGTCTCTGCTTTTTAAGATGCTGTCTTTAGGCCTCTAGATCATGTTGGTACCTGTCTGACTTGGTGAAGTAGGTTGGTTGGTTGGTTGTGGCGTATGTGTGTGTTGGTTTTTGTATCGTGAAAATGCAGCTTATCTTCAAATACAAAACATATTCATGGCTACCAAAGGAGCTTCTGTCAACACATGGATTATTGAGACATATGAATGGGGGACTCTCACCACCAAATGTGCCTGGAGCAATTTTAATCTTGAGTTAGACTTCATTTGCTGAATGCAAGAGGCAGAAGTAAAAACGTAGTTGTTTGAGCAATTGAACTACCTGTCATCACTGGTATGCGTATCAAAGGGTTAACTTTCTGTCCGCTGAAGCACCTCTTAATAGGTCTTATCAGCAAGGCCCAAGTATTTATACGAATGCAACATTTAAAATTAGTTGCCAAAGTAAAGCACTAGCTAGCCTTTTTTAGTGCAGAGGACGCTTCTGTCTGCTTGATAGATAATTTAAAAGCCCAGAGCACACATTGTAAGTTGCCTCACCTATTTAATGGATAGACTTTCCTCCATGTAGGAGCCTGTGACACCAGATACTTCAGTATCGTGTTCTATTTAATTTTTTTTTTTCAGGACCAGTACAGTGATATGAGAATCAGTATAAACCAGAGACCAGGTAGCAGTCGGAGTTTTGGGTTTGCAGTGCACCAGGATCCTTCTGGAGTCTTCGTGAAGTCAATAGAAGAAGGTAAAAATTCCCATGTAAAACTCTTAATGTGCTTGCCTTGAGAAAGTTAATTGGAAGGCAAGCAATTGATCTAACTTGATCTGAAGAATTCAGGTTGCAAATTTGAGTGGCAAGGCTGCTGGAAAAAGAAAAACTGTTGGGAATGGTAGAGAGAGAATGCTCTAAGATTAATTTGTGTTCTTCTTATTTGCATGTGTGATTGATTATGCTGTCAGCTGTAGCTCTCCAGTAGCAGCCAGGAAAATAATGTCCCCCCCCAAAAAAAAGTCTTTAGGTCTATATTGCACCGCATTAATTTTCTCATATAGATGTGTTGCAATTTTTAAAATAATTTACATGCAAGGAAGAAGGTAAGATTTGCCTTTTGTCTTTTATGTAGTTAAACTTATTGACAATACTGTCAATAAATTCTTAGTTGTCTTTGAATAAAATAATGATGGTTATTTTTTAAAAATAAATAAATTTTATTTCCTTTTGTGATAAAAACAAAACAATGTATGACATCATAACATATAAGTAACAAATCATGATGATCATTTATAGTATTAAAAGAAAATAAGCAAGCTTTAGCTGAGCTAGAATTTTAAATTTATCAACTTTTCATATTCAAGTAACACCTTCCAATACTTCAGAGGAAATAAATGATGTCTCTTATATCAGCTCTTTGACTTGCATGACATTTTTGTGAAGAAATTATATCACTTTCTCAGCAGTATTGATTTTACTTTGTTGTAAAGCGTCATTAATTTACAAAACTTTGTGTCCCCCCCCTACTCTTAAAACAACAAAAAAGGATTATTTCCCTAATAGAAGCTGTAGCTTGTCTTTCTGGCCTCCCAAAAGGAATTAATTAGAGCTCTTCAACAATGAAGCATGCCATAGCAGAAGGAGCAGTAAAGGTTTTTCTGTAATTTACTAAGCAGTGAGATTAAGATTTTAATAATTAAAGAAGCTCAGAGTCTGACCTACAACAAGTCTGAGACAACTCCTGAATCCGTGAAACTTCGCACAGGCAAAGTTGATTGTGGTGCTTTCGGTACAAGTAGAGGCCATGAAGTTATAGATTCAGGCGACAATCTTAACGCATGCAGCTGTCACCCTCTTGTCACCCTCCAAGTCAGGCTGTTGGTTCGTTTGCCCACTGCTGTGGGCACATATTGATAGCTGCTCTTCTAGGCCTAAAGCAGAATAATTTTTATTATTTCTCTTTTAAAAGTCCAGTCCCTACTGCTTCTCCAAGAAAACTCAGAGTGGCACAAACAGCAATAAAAACAGACAGAATTGCCAAAGCACCACAATTTACATTCAGATTAATGAATTAATGACATACACCCTGTTTAACAAATTCCAGCAACAAACTGAGCTGGCCAAAATGCACCATTAATCTTAGAATCAAAGAACCGTAGAGTTGGAAGGGACCCCGAGGTTCATCTATCCCAACCCCATGCAATGTAGGAATCTCAGCTAGATCATAAATGGCCATCCAGATTCTGCTATCAAAAACCTATAAATTTTTGCTATCTGAATCAAAAACCTCTTTTAAAAGACAATTTTTTGCCAGCCTCCTGAAAAGCAGTCTAGCAACAGGCCTCCTGAACCTCACTTGGCAAGTCATCCATTGGAGTAGAAGCCACATCAGGAAATATCTCAACCTATAAAACCCTGAATGGCCAGTGCCTTGAATACAGCCCAGAAGCTAATGACCTCTCTCAGCAGCTTCATGCATATATTAAGAAGCATGGAGAAAAAGATAATCTTTACAGAACGCTAGATGGCACAGGCCGTGGGGAAGAGCTTTCAGCTTGACCCGGTAACAAATTGACAACCTGCGCAGATCTCTGAGCTCAGGTGTTATATGCTGACAAGGTCTCACTTCTGTCAGCAATTGCGTTGCAGCATTCTATGCTAACTGCAGCTTCTGTATCAAGAGAAGCACCATATAGTGTGCATTGCAGTAGCCCAGTCTCGAAGTAACCATATTAGACAATGAACTATAGCTACTCAGCTTCAAGGTGGTCCAAAGATAGTTTGCTAAACAGAAGTCATATCATTGCTTTTTTATGGCCAAAGGGAGGCATTCTATAGTGTCCTTTGCTCAACAGAAGCTGAGACAGTTGATTTATCATACAGGATAAGCAATAATCAAGATAATGGGCCATTGAATCCATCCCCCCCCCGAGATTTTGCCTACCTCCTCACAGCCAATCAGCTGAAAGGTATCCAATTAAACAGGACAAACAGACTCTCTAATCCAAAATTCCTCCGGACTCCTGCGAAGTTCAAGTCGGAGCTGATCTAAGTAATTTTATCTGCAAAGTGCTTTGCAAATAGGTCACAGTAGGGTTCCATGACCTCATGTAACGTCTGCTTGCCATGATGTAAAAGGTCCTTCACAACATGGAATGGCTCTGCTGGATAGCACTGAGCAGAGAAGTCTTTCACAGAACTGTTGTCCAAGACCTTATTAGTTGAAGATGCTGGGTGTTGCACCTGGAACTTTCTCTATTAAAACCTGAAATGTGCTTTAGAGCCAGCGTGGCATTAACTTGGGCAGGAGAACCCTGGATTCAGGTCTCCATTCTGGTAAAGTTGGTCAGGCAAGTTCACTGTCAATGTTGCAGATGATGTCCAAAAGGTAGACCGTGGTAGATCTCAGGACCCTCCCGCCACCTAAAAAAAGATCAACAACATTGACAATTTTGTTAGATCACTGCCAGTTTTATTTACAGTGGGAGTAGATCCCAGTTTCTTGAAAGTTGGACATGCCTGAGTTAGAATAAAGCTGAGTAACATCACATGTCAGCCCCTTGGGGGGGAAAGATGGGAAGCAGGTGTGGGGTTGGTGATAGAAAAGGTTATTAAAATTTCACCATGGTTGGCATCCGTCTGTCTCGGGAGACGATGGAAGAGTGCCCCTTTAAGGGTGCGTGTTTAAAAAAAATCTCATATTTTTTAACTTGGAACCGATATTGGCAAGTGCTCCTGATCTTGGGTGGGAAAGTGCTCTGAAGTGTTCACACTTCTCTGCTGTGCTTAGCAACATGGTTGAAAACCAGTGTAAACAGAGGAAATATGAGTGTGTTTTTAAAATGTTCACAGAGGCGACATAGATAACAAGTTGCAAAACAGCAGTGATTCTCTGGCGGGTCTGATAGGGTGGCATATTAGATTTATGGAGGATCATTTGTTGCTTTTGCCTTTTTAGCATTTTTTTTTTTAATGTAGGAGAGGAGGAGATCCTTGTTCACAATTTGCAAAACCAAGAAACTGCCACACCACCTTAACTGCTTGGCTTTGTATTCACAACAAACCTTTACGCCTATAAAAATACCAAACTATTCTAGTCATGTCAATTAACTATCAATAGATGCTGTATAATGCTGAGTCATTATGATTATTTGTACCTCTTGTGTCTTTGAATTAATCCACACTTTTAACGCCATGGTACACCTGTAGCAGCACATCTAGGTGCCTTCATCTGCCCCCAGCTGCAACAAAACATGTCTCTTCCATACCAGTATCTACAGCCACAGCAGGCCCTGTAACTCTCCAATGGTTTGACTTCACCCCCAAAGGTGCACTCCAACAATTATTTGCATAGAAGTAGTTCTTAGGCGGGATGTGGTGGCGCTATGGTCTAAACCACAAAGCCTAGGGCTTGCCGATCAGAAGGTCGGTGGTTTGAATCCCTGCGACGGGGTGAGCTCCCGTTGTTCGGTCCCTGCTCCTGCCAACCTAGCAGTTCGAAAGCACGTCAAAGTCCAAGTAGATAAATAGGTACCGCTCCAGCGGGAAGGTAAACAGCATTTCCGTGCGCTGCTCTGATTCGCCAGAAGCAGCTTAGTCATATCTTAGGCACAAGAAAAGTCATATTGTATGTTAAATATGAATGACAAGTCCTGGTAGTTATTCAGTGGCTTCTAAAAAAATCCCCCCCCCCCCGTTGTCTTTCCAAGGCAGCGCAGCACTTGCAGCAGCTCTCACAAAGATAAAGCATACAAAAAATAAGTCTAAAAACTAACATTAAAAATTAGAGTGAGGGCCTTTTTAATTTAGCTGCCCCATGTTTCTGACATTACAAGTTAGCTCTCATCTTTCCATCACCACCAGGTAGCCCAGCAGACTTTTGCCAGTTGAATGTTGAGGATGAAATCCTTACTCTCAATGGCACAAAGGTTTCAGGTATGGACCAGAGTCAGTGGGAAGCAGCCATCGGCAGCTCACTAGAAACCGGAAACCTTGTCATGGATGTTAGGCGATACGGCAAGAAGGGTGAGCTTTTACTTGGGGTGACTTCTGCGTGACCTGAAAGGTGACTGTTCTTTGCCTGCGAACTTGTTGGGATGGATGAGTCCTTTATTTCTGCAGCCTTCTGCAGCAACAGCTTTTTCCTGGCAGCACCTGCTTATTGTAAATACAGCTCCTGCTGCTGTTAATTTTGGGTTGTTGTTTTTTGCATGTGTTAAAGCTGTGTAAATCTGCATTAGCAAGTCTACTTTTCTTAAACCGGAGATAACTTTTTTCAAGGAGAAATATATCTACGTAGGTTTCTTGTTCCCCCAGCCTTCAGAAATACTGATTTTCCTGACCTTGTCAGAGAGATGCAGAAAGAATCCAGCACTTTTATTATTAGTTCTGTGGTTCTGTTTCCTGGAAGAGCATCCATGTGATCTATTCCCCACACCCAAACCCTTGCAATTAGGTCCTTTCTCTGTCCAGATAGTCTAGCACTGTAGTGTATACCTGTATTTGAAGAATAAAAGTTAGTAAACTTGCTATTGTTCATTGTGCTTGCCTTTTACTAATGCTTGCTTTTTTGGGGAAGGCGGTCTGTTCATAAAAAGCCCTAACCAATTTCCACACATACAAATTCCAATTCACTTTCTACTTCATCTGTCCCTCCTGTCTTTTCTGTGTGTGTTTTGGTTTTGATGTATTTTCATTAAGTCTTTTTCTTTATGCTTTGACATCTTCCCTGTCTACTTTTCAATTTTTTGATCTCCACATGCCAATCAGACTGGGGCAAAGACCAGCCTTCCCTGCCATATGCAAGGCACAAAATCCTCAATCTCACCAGTATGGCTACCAACATTATAGGTACACCTGAGAACAAATGGATTGATGCGACATCTGTGGACAGCACTTCAGCCAAAAGTCAAAGCATATCAGCACAAAAAGACTTGCACAACAATTTTCAAAATGATGTAAGTATGCCTATGTTTGCATTTGGGAAAAGGTTCTGCATCTCTTCTCTCAGCCACGTTAAACTGTGCCTAGAAAGTACTCAAGGGACGCGGGTGGTGCTGTGGGTTAAACCACAGAGCCTAGGACTTGCCGATCAGAAGGTCGGCGGTTCGAATCCCTGCGATGGGGTGAGCTCCCGTTGCTCAGTCCCTGCTCCTACCAACCTAGCAGTTCGCAAGCACGTAAAAGTCCAAGTAGATAAATAGGTACCGCTCCGGCAGAAAGGTAAACGGTGTTTCCATGCGCTGCTCTGGTTCGCCAGAAGCGGCTTAGTCATGCTGGCCACAGAACCCAGAAGCTGTACGCCGGCTCCCTCAGCCAGTAAAGCGAGATGAGCGCCGCAACCCCAGAGTCGGTCACGACTGGACCTAATGGTCAGGGGTCCCTTTACCTTTACCTTTTAGAAAGTACTCACTTAATGAAAGTTAAACGTCTCCAAGGTTCAATTAATGAAGAAATGTTGTCTTGGCCTGTTGACCAGAAGTCCAGGTCCTATTGTTAGCTAGGTGGTGATGCAGGCCAGCAACTTTTTGTGCCAGGACATGTAAAAGTGATGTGGCCAGATACTTCTGCTGCATGTTCTGGCAGCGTAAGTCAGTCGCTCTATTGCGCTATGAGAGAAGCGCTAGTATACTGCAGGAAACTTTTTTTCCTTACTGGAGTTTCCTGTGAACCCAACGTAAATACCCATAGAGGCATCTACTCACTGCTGTCATGTAATTTCTCTGTTCTGGCCTTGCTTTCTTCCCATCCAGGTAGGTAATTTTCCCCTACTGCATCTCTTGCACTGCATTGGGTAGGATAGGCAATAATTTTATTTATCTATAAACCTTCACAGAACAGATATCAAAAAAAGCCCACCAACAAAAAACCAAAAACAATTCACAGTTGAACTACAAATTTAGCTCTCAATTTCCTGGTTGTCCATTCATTCATTGGATTATTCATCTTCTCCTAGTGCAACAACAAAGCAAATTACTAGCCAGTTATTTGCAACAAAGCAAATCAATGTGCGTGCCAGTTACCATCTTGCATGTTCAGTATTAAATCGGAAAGCTTAACTTAGCTGCCAGAAGTCTGAGAAACATTTGCATAACCCTTTCCTTCTTGAAGACGGAGGAACAAGTTTCACGAAATCTCTTCTCTTGATTTTCTAAGCATCAGAAGCCCATAATGGCACATGAACTGATTGCTAGATCTTTTAGATTTTAAATCCAGTAATAGATTATTAGATGAATGATTGTTCATTCTACATCATTTATTGAATATGCATAAAAATAAAGTTCTTTAGGGGTAGGATCAAAAATATCTATTTTAGCTTTACAGGTTGTATGGCTTACCAGGAGTGTCAAAAGCAGTTGTAGTTATTTTGTGGGGGTGGGGGATGAAGGTAAGAGTCATGGAATTATTTCAGTATGTTAATTTTTCTGGTTTCAGGATTCAGAAACAAAGATCAATGGAATGCAAGGAGATGTAAATTCCAATGAGAAAAAAGGTAAAACCATCAGAACTTTCCAATTGCTAGCTGTAGGCAGTGGTTGGGATTGAAGGGGGAAATGTATACCTAGTGGATATGGTGTACTGGGGAGTTGTGTACAGTTGAAATATAAGAACTTCCAATTTTCTTAGGTGGCTCATAAATATAATTGCATGCAGAAGACAAATTGGGTTCTCTTCCGGAAGCGTTGTGCATATATAAAGAACTGCTAACAAGATGACATCTAGTTCCTTTATTTCTGCATCACTGACAATATGAGTGTGTGTAGTAAGAATGAAAGAAGAGAGGGGGGAAGGCAGAAATAATTTTAAACAGTACTGGCGTTGAGGTCCTAGCAAGTTCATGGGATTACCTGCCTTTCACTGTCACGTCAATCCGAGCTTTGGTGTGTGTGTGTGTGTGTGCATGTATGCTTAGAGGGAGATACTCTGTAAAATGCTTTTTGAAAGAAAAAAAAGGTTTATTCAATGTGTAGAAAATTGTATGGTGAAAACTTATGTGTGCCCAGTAAGACTTGGAGTTAGTGTATGTTTTTTGAAAGTTTAGACTTTTGAGGAAGGCAAAGGAAGAGAAAACCTATCCTGTAATATAAAACTAGAAAGCATTTCAGCCCAAGAGCTTAGTTTCCCTTGCAGTTTCTATTTATTTCAGTGGTGTGTTGATGGCAACAGCTTTGTGTGCCTATGCCAGCCTTTCTCAAACTTGGATCCCCAGATATTGTTGGACTACAAATCCCATCATCCTCATTGGTCCTGGTAGATAAGGATGATGGGAGTTGTGGTCCAGCAATATCTGGGAGCCCGAGTTTCTCAAGTCTGGCCTATACCCATGCAGTTAGATTAAGAATGCATTTTTATAATTCCGGCCTGCAGCACATAGAAATTGAAGTGAACCTTCCACTGGCAAGAAGACACCGCATTTGCTGATCTAAGGACACCTGATACTTGTCATGAGCCCAGTGCACTTATTTAAGATTTGTTTTGTTTGATAGTTATATCTAGGCTAATGTGAGCTTTCTAAAAAGGCAAGCTGAATAGAAGTAGCATGTACAAAATGATAAATAACTAAAGAATTGAACGAAACGTTTGTCTGAGCAAGAAGCCCATCCAGACCCTACGGACAACATTTAATGATATTACTATATGTTTTATCTCACCCTTCATCCAAGGAGTTCAGGGCACCGATGTGGAAGTGTGGAAGAGCAACCCTGTAAGGTTGTTCAGGCCAAGAGAGAATGACTTAATCCCAGGCCACCCAATGAAACGAACAGAGATCAATGTCCAGGTTTTCTGGTTGTTCATTTCCCAGCAATCTCGTTTACTGCCCTAGCTCTGCCTCTGCTGAAATTTTGAACACTGAAAGATGATGTATAGAGTAGGAGCACTGTACTTTGGTCAACACCTTCCTGTGACATAGGCTACTATGCTGGCAAGATGTTTGTTTCAATGCAGCTTAAGTTGGATGCTCTGAATAGTGTTTATCCATTGGACAGATATTAAATAAAGCCAAACCACACCACACTGACTTGTTTTGTATCTTCATATTTTTTTCAAATAGACACAGAACCCATTTCTTTGAAAAACTTAAAAAGGCGATCACAGTTTTTTGAACAAGGTAAAAGACAAAACCCCAAAAGCTAACATTTCATGTACTTTCATGAAATTGTTTCCCAATGTACATTCTTCTTAACAAGTCTCTGGTGTTGGGTTCTAAGTTTCTTCAGTCATTGATTGTTGCCGTCGTGCCAAACTAGCTTAATCTGTTTCCATTCTTTCCTTAGGGTCATCAGGTTTTTCTTACAATTCATGGGTCTACCTTTGTGGTAATGGGCTTTGTGTGTTCCTCTGTATCTCAAACCTTTTACACTTCTGATATTTGTTCAAACACTGTTCTCACTGGGGAGCAGTGTGAAGTACAGAAACCTTTGTTCGGATTTGCAGCTTTCCTACAAAATGCCATTACGCTGAGCAAAGCAACAGACATGCTACAATAAATTCCCAACCCGAGAAATGCAGTCAAATTTAAATGTATTCATAATGCGATTTAGATTTATTAAAAATTGGCAGATTAGTATGCAGTAGCTAATTACAAAATGCCTGTTCCATAACCATGAGCAAATCTTATGGCTCCAAAATACTTTGGAAAAGGGTTTTAAGAATCAAAATGACAGTGTCTCGGCTGTGAATGGTTTGTCACAATTCTCTAAGGCTTCTCCTTTGCATGTTGCATCTCACCTCCTTCATTTTCACTTCAGTAATTTGCTCGTACCTGTTTCAGTATTTTTGTGCACATGGAATGTGTTGAAGTGATTAGGGCACTTCACATTTATTATAACATTAAGTATCACCAAAGGTCTGTTTTCCCTTGAATATATATGTCCCTTTGATAAGTACAAAATATTAAAATGCTTCTCTTTGACTCTGTTTGGATGGTTTGTCCTAGTGATATACTGCTGAGTGAATTACAGTACCTCCTGTGCTCATGGGGTTAGCGCAGGTATCTGCAATGTCTCAGCATAGCTGTCAAGCATCCTTTATTGTGATGGCATATTCCTCTATAAGTTCTTTTCAAAGCCAACAGAGGGGAGAATGGGAGGCCTTGGCCTCCTTGTACATTTCAATCCCCCAGCTTCTCTGGCTGTGCAGGTAGGGCTTTTCCAAACATGGAATGCGCTTCACAGTAAAGACTGCTGGAACGTGGTATGGAACGTGGTCTTATTATTTTCACTGGTTTCCTTAGAATTTTCCACTTCATCTTTTTATCGCATGTTTGTCATCTGATGTGAGAGTCCGCTCATCTTCTGTCAGGGTGGTGCTGTTGCAAAGAGACTTTGTTGTCACTAATAAGTAAAAAATATGTATCTTCCCTCGATTACAAATACCGCTTAGAGTGCCCATGTGTTGCAGATGGGAAATGATTGTTAAACGTTTCCTATACAGTAGACCAGAAGAGATAACAACCCCTGCACAATTATTTGCAGTCTGCCACTATAATCCCAATACTTAATTTTGTGTATATATAAAGTATTAAAGTAATTTCCTGAGAATTGCAACTCTAGCAGTAATATATTACTGCTAGTGTTGCAATTCTCTGGAAGTTGTGCAGTTTCTCAGCATACAGTTCCAGTGCAGGAGCACTTAACCAATCCTACTGATTTTGTATTTGACCTCTGTTGTGCGTGTTTTTATTGTTTTTATATATGCTGCCCTAAGAGCATTATGCTGAGTGATTAATATATCTAGTAATTTTTTTAAAAAAATCTATCAGACAAAGCAAAGGCACAACCTGACCCATCTGTTGTATGTGGTTGGTTTTGGCATTGCAAAAATGGGTGCTAAGGAGAATCACATAGAGGTTAAACTGTGGTTGGAATGGAATTACACCAATGTAATGTCTTTGGTAAGCAAGATAAAAATGTATGTGCAGCTGTTCCTTTAAAAACAACAAAAAGGGAACCATCCCTATTGATGGCCCTAGACCTTCAGAAAAGTACATGAGTAGTAACTTTCAAATAATATGTTGTTTAATTGTATACTGCGTTAGTAGAAGTGGGGGTTTCCCCCCAGTGCATTCTTTGCTTTGTGATGAGCTTTTGCTTATCTCTAAATTGAAAAGTGGCTTTGTGGTTCTAGCCAGGTTTTTAAAAGAAGATTCTTTAGCGAACTTTGTGGTATCGCTAAAGTTGAGATGAATTCTTTTAAGACTAAAGCAATATTTAGTAATATTATTGCATATTTAGAGCTATCTATGCTGTGTCTACAAATTTGTATATATCCATTAAGTTGATATTTCCTATTTCCATTGTGCATTGTTAAAGTGGGGGGGGGAGCCATTGAGGGATGAATCTTGCATTCAGCACCCATGAACTATGTGCTGTGCTCATGCAGCCTGTTTTTGTACTGTGCTTTCTGCCAGTGCTACTCATCTTTTGAGGCAGGTAATAGGATGTGTCCATCTTTTTCTGGTTCACTCCTCGTTTCTGGTTGTATGGGTTGTTGGGGAGAGGAGGAAAGAGGGAGGCCTTTTCCAACCCAGTTCACTGAATTTGATGTGTGATATATTAATCCCAATATCTCTTTTCGTGTGTTTTTGTTTTGCTGCTCCTCATATCGTTCTAAGACTATCCACGTTTCAGTGCATACTGAGAGATCCTTACTCCCTAATTGTCCTACAGCTGCTATCTTTTCCTGCTTATTGTGGTCAGAAGCCTGTGGTGGATTACGATCTGAAAAAAATGTGGGAATATAACATTCCTGATAAAATACTGCTTTGGCAAGCATTATGAAACCCTGGGGAAAGTCTGGGGGGAAATAAAGACTTCTCTCAGTTTTCTCTTGATGTGGTGACGCACATATTCACCCTTAAGATTACCATCATTGTTGTGTGTTTTTCCGTGTAGAACAGCTGTTTGTCCCTTGCTTGTCCAACTGATGAAAAACTGTAAAATCATACAAGTCTAATAGGTGTTTGTTCATCTGAAAGTCCTTGACCTGATAAGGGAATGGGTCCCAACAGCTTAAATAGTGCCTTCCAATAGCCTACAACTTTAAATTGTATCTTCCAGGTCATACTAACAAAGTTTCTTTTTCTTTCTTTTTAAAATTATTTTCTTCTCACTGCCAGGAGGCCCAGAGCCTGCCATTCCTGATGTGAGTATTGCTGCTTAAGTTATAGTAAATAGTATTTAACTAATGAGATAATAATATAACATTTAAAAAGTGTACATTCCCACAAATGAAAATGAATACGCAAAGCAATAAAGATGTTATTATGAGATAAAATAGAATAATGCGTAACTTGGGGGGAAATATACAGTCACACATTATCATGAAAATTATTACTTTAAAAACTGATGAACAAGAACTATGGGTGGTATTCAACTAATATTTGCTCAGAGCAGACCTGTTAAAGTTAATGGATCTAGCTTAGTCATGTTAATTATTGTAGTGGATTACCACCCCGTGACTGTAAATTTACCTGCTTGAAACCTAAAGAAAGGTTCTTCATAAGATAGCTTTATTTGGTGAACAAGGGATGTAACCAGATGTTTGGAGCAAAAAGTACTCCCAATATCACATCGCCTCTAAAGGTAAAAAGGTAACGGACCCTTAGATGGTTAAATTCAGTCAAAGGCGACTATGGGGTGCTGCGCTCATTTCGCTTCAGGCCGAGGGAGCCAGTGTTTGGTGCTGTGGTCTAAACCACTGAGCCTCTTGGGCTTGCCAATCATAGGGTTGGCAGCCGGAATCTGTGTGACGGAATGAGCTCCCGCTGCTCTGTCCCAGCTTCTGCCAACCTAGCAGTTCGAATTGCCTCTAATATGCAAACCTGTCCATGGAAGCGGGAAGGAACAGAGCTGAATTTCCTTGGGCTTTTCCAAGACTGGCCAAGTTGGGTGGGTGTGATAGCTTGCTGAGCAAAAGTGTGCAGGGTTAAGCATTTTCCTTATCTGCCCACTCTGTCAAACTTAAGACAAATTCAAGATTGGGAATTCATGTCGCTGCCAAATATATATTTCTGGTCTAAGACTGTAACTGACATTGTAAATTTTGTGTGTGTGTGTTCAAAGCAAAACGAAACATTCTGCTCTAGCTGATTTTATGTTTCTGTGTTTCAGCTCCCAGTTCCACCCATCAGCGCTTCTAGCCGCTGGGCCTGGGATCAAGAGGAAGAAAGAAAAAGACAAGAGAAATGGCAAGCAGAACAGGATCGCTTACTGCAGGTGTGGACTTAATAATGCAATGTCCATCACTACAAGGTTGGCTCTGGATTTGGCCAGCCAGACTGACCTCCAAAATAAGCCTATTCTGGAATTTATGCTGCCAGTAGAAATGGTCTATAGTGATTTAAGGTTAACTTAGTGAGGCTAGGTTTTGGAGAGTATATAACTCCTATTTTAAAGCAATTAAAGATGGAAATCCCCACCATTAATACTAAACATGGTATCAATATGTGGTTTATAATTGCTTTGTGGTCCAACCCTTTGTATAGATACTTAGAATAAAATATAATTTGCTAATAGGTTTTATTTCCAAATAAGCACCTTTGTGTTCATCCTATTTTGATGTCTTATCATCTGATTTAGAGTAAAAGGCTTCTGGGACAAAGCATATGCCATCTTAATATGTTCTTATGCATCCTGAATGCTGCTGTCTGAAAACCAGTTGTGTGTTTATTACTGCCCAACCTCCCTATGTTCTAATCCATTGTACAAATCTCTGAGAAACTAGATGTTTGAGGCAAAACCGAATCCTGCTTTGATATAAAATGTTAAAAGCCTGATGACTTATTTTTGCTCCCTAAACAGAGGTTAAGGTTAACCCATTCCTTGCTTGGAAGAGTGGGTTGCTTCTTATAGGAAGAAGCAAAATAATAGGTAAATGAGAAAGTACCAAGGTAACAATTACTGTATTTGTGCAGAAGCAATTACAAATTTGTATTATACTTCCACACCACCATGCCTTTAAAGGTAAAGGACTCCGTCAGTTAAGTCCAATTGCGAATGTCTCTGGGGTTGCGGTGCTCATTTTGCTTTACTGGCCGAGGGAGCCGATGTTTGTCCGCAGATAGTTTTTCCAGGTCATGTGGCCAGCATGACTAAGCCGCTTCTGGCAAAACCAGAGCAGCACACGGAAATGCCATTTACCTTCCCACCGGAGCAGTACCTATTTATCTACTTGCACTTTGATGTGCTTTCGAACTGCTAGGTTGGCAGGAGCTGGGACCAAACAACGGGAGCTCACCCTGTTGCGGGGATTCAAACCACCGACCTTCCAATTGGCAAGCCCTAGGCTCAGTGGTGTAGACCACAGTGCCACCCATGGCTTTACACATCCTCAAAAGTGCTTTTTTGGTATATTAGAAAGTACCTTCCCTTGCCATTGATTTGCCAGAACTAGCTTTCATAAGAGTACTGAGATTTTGACATTATTGAGAGGGCACTATTTGAAATGAAACTGATATTTATAATGTAAAAGAGTGTGTGTGCAAGGCTTGCCCAACTATGGATTTATCTTACTTTGTACAGTACAGTGAACATACCACATTTCTATGCAGTTTACATTGCCAGAAAATATATGTTCAGCTAATTATGCCATGAAATTAATATACTTTTTAATTAAAAAAAACCTAGGAGAAATACAGGCGCGAACAAGAGAGACTGAAGGAAGAATGGCTGAAAGCTCAGAAAGAGGCTGAAAAGGAGAACTCCAAATACTTAAATGAGGTGAGCGCTATAACTTATTGTGGATTGCCCTCTCTTGGTACTTCCATGGAACAAAATTTACAATTTGCTTTGTCCCTGGCTAGTAAGCAAATGCATCAGAATCAGGAAATGCAGGCAACTATATGCCACTAGAAGAAAATCTAAACAGGAACAGGATGATAATAATCAGGACAAACTAAAAATCACAAATCCATGAATAGCATGAGTTTCTAGCAGTAATGATAAATCATCTTAAAATGTGCATTAAAAAACACTGAAAGTCAAAACAGATGCTAACAGTTCCATTTAGATAGGTTTCCTCAACCTGGTGCCCTTGAGATGTTGTTGAACTACAACTGCCATCAGCCATGACCATTAGCCATGTTGAAGTCCAGATCCATCTGGAAGGCACTAGTTTGGGGAGATCTGTACTAAGAGATCCAAGCAGAATTTCTTATTACAAATCACATATTGTGTAGTAGTTGGTGGCTTAATTTGTGTCTTTGTGTCACCGCTTACCTTCACCAGCTGTTGCTGATCTGTTTCCTTAAGCCAGTTTCAATTAAAAATCTTGAGAAGGAAGTCCGGGTAAGACTTCTTTTTGACAATGGATGCATTGTCAATTTGGATACAAGGTGGATGCACGAAAGACTGTTGCTTTCACCTTTATTCATTTCAGCAAACTACCATCGATCTTTTAGTTGTTTGTGTACATGACCATGGAGATTGCTGGAAGACTTCAAGAAAAGTTTAGATAGCTTTAGCCCTGCACTAAGGGCTCTACAGTGCAGGTCATGCTGACTAATCTACAAGTGTTCAGTTGCCAGAGGCTTAGCAGGTATAGCGTTCAGTTCCCAGATCCATAAAATGCAAAGATCATATTTAATCATGTAAACTTACAGTGTGACAGACTTAAATGGTTGATAATGGACCACTTAACTGCAATCATCCCTAAGTGGTGTACAAGAAATACAATACAGAAAGCTAAAATTGGTTAAAACTTAAAAATAAATGCCTGCTTTAAGTTAAAGCAAACGAGTAAAATAAAATGTAAGTAGAAGTACTAAATGTGCTAAATATGGCAAAAACCACTAATTTTAAAAGTTAGAGGCAAGGGCGAGTGCTAATAATATTCAATAGTTCCATTTCCTAAAACTCTGTGCCATCCTGTCTGTTTCATTTTTATAAGCCTTGCACTCTCTTCTAGGAGGAGACTGTATTAAAGTCAAATACTGTGTCTGTAACTGCACAAGAACCTCCTGTTTCCACGTGGAGAGCAAATGGAGATCACAAGGCTGACTATTCTGATGCTGGTAGACGATGGGAAGAAGAACGAGAACAGGAGAAGAAGGAAGAGGAAAGGAAACGTCTTGAGGAGGCCCAGAGGCTGGAAGAAGCAGCAACTGTGTTACAAATAGAACAAGAGAGGAAGCGCCAAGAACTAGAACGTGAGAAGGAACGAAATGTGTGCTATGCAGAGGAGCCGAGGTATCAGGAAGCAGCAGAACAGAAATTGCAGGTTGAACAAGTCAAGGAAACTTCGATACAGAGGCCCCAGTATCAAAGGTGTGCATTCAGTTTTTCGCTATGTGTTTTTTTTTTTTTTGCTATAGTGACCTACAGAAGGCATAAGCATAAGCTCAAAAATGTATGACTAAAATACTTTATATGCATGAGAATTTATTATATTGATGCACAAGTACTTGTGAGTGCAAAAAGCAATAGAATCAGCCAATAGGCTTGTTTTGAAACAATGTAAGTTTCAAATTGTTAACTGGACTATTTATGTTGAGGTTTGTGGTAGGACTTTGGTAAAAGCTCTGTTTCCCATGGCTGCAAGTATCCCTGGATGCAAATACACACTTGGCAGCAGCAACCAAGTCCTAGTGGAGTTCTTGTCACACATCAGTATAAGCATTCTTCATTTATCCTCATCCCACCTTATTAAATCAATAATAGGGTCTTTCATGAGAGCTGACACCGAGTGCTGCAATGGGCAAGAACCCCATATATGACTCGGTTAGGATCTCCCTGGACTTTTGAGGACTCTAGAGCCAATCTTAACTTGATATGTTAGGATGCAGGAATCAGAAATCTGCCCCATCACTAAACCATAATAACTATAACACTTTCCCTCTCCGTGATGCTACACTCACTGATTTCCAGAAGAACTGTTTCAGTTAAGCTCTGCATTCATGGGCTCCAGCCACTGCATCATTGGGTATGCTGCTAGCAAAAGCCTGAGCCAAAAAAATGTGTTGCAGCTACTGCAGCAAAATTTACAAAGGAAAGCTGGATTAAGTATTTGCCATCAGTTGTACCTCCCTCATTCTTAAACCAGCTGATTGTTGCACGATTTACAGTTAACAAGGCCTGCTGCATGCCTGTTGCAAACAGATGCATAGATAACCAATGTGGTTTAAGAGAATAGATGCTAATGTAGCCATTACCTTTGCATGTTTGTTTAGGTCAAGGAAGGCTTATATGTGGCCCTCTAGCTCCCATCACCCCTGACTACTGGCCATGCTGGGCAAGGCTGGTGAGCGTTCGAGGGCAACCGTTTTGCCACCACTGCTTTAGTTTGCTGTGTGTACATAGTCCTTAGCACTTACAATGGATGCCCACCAGGACTGTCAGATTTTGCAGATCTACCTGTATTTAAACCAGGCCAGGAATCCTTTGGGGGTGGGGAAGAAGGCAAGGGCCACATTACTCTAGTGTAAAGCTTTTGGAAACTGCTTTGCATAGGTGGCTGTGGCCAGGCAACAGACAGTCACACACCTTTAACTAGCACCCATCCCCTTCTCTCCCTCTCTCCCCTCCCTCTGGTTTCTTCTCTTTCTGCACTGAGACTTTCAGCACTGCACTCCCACATCTTAGCAATACTCCCAGTATTGCTTCCCATGGCTTCCTCTCTGTGCACTAAGGGTAGCCCTTTTCTGAGCATGCCAAAAGGAATCCAGGAGAAGTTGCCATCCAGGCACACTGAAAGCTGCCTGAATAATCAGCTGTCTTTGCCCACTGAGAAATGGGAGCAGATCCTTGCTTTCTCATTGCTCAGCTGGAGAAAGTAAGTTTGCAGAGAGGGGGAGGTTTTGATTTCTCTTCCTCCCTTCACAGACTTCCCTTGCCCATGTGCTTCTCAGTCACACCATGTCTTCCCAATGTGTGTGTCCAAACCTTAAAAATGAATTTGAGTGCATAAGAACCTCAGGTCTTGCATTTCAAAAGTGAAATATACTGTATATATTTTATTTTATTTTTATTTTGCAAACTGTAAATGCTCAGAACTTCACACTGAGCATTTCTAAGACAAGTCATGCTGCTGTTGTAAATTATACAACAAAGAACAGGTCTAACTTCCTAATCTGCCATCCCTTCTCCTACAGCTTCCTGTTTTCTTGGATGCAAATCTAGATTTGCAAGAATTTCTTGTTCAATATGTGGGAGGCTATTGTTCATGGTTTTGTATCTTCCTGCAGTGCCAGCCAAATGAGTATCTCTTCCTGTGTAATCTATTCATTCTAATGCATGTTTACTTTAGGCATTTTGAAACACCAAGAAATTCTGATGAACCAACAGGCTACTTCAGTACTAACAGGTAAAACTATGCTGGTTTTCCTGTCCTTCAATTTATGCTTGTTTGGGATTCTTTTACAAGTGTGCCTCTGAAATGCTGGAATCCTGGCACAGCTTAGGGAAATACAGCATTAGTCTGTGGATTACTTAATAATGGGCAACTATGGAAGTATGAAGAGGGACGCGGGTGGCGCTGTGGGTTAAACCACAGAGCCTAGGACTTGCCGATCAGAAGGTTGGCAGTTCAAATCCCCACGACGGGGTGAGCTCCCGTTGTTCGGTCCCTGCTCCTGCCAACCTAGCAGTTCGAAAGCACGTCAAAGTGCAAGTAGATAAATAGGTACCACTCCAGCGGGAAGGTAAATGGCGTTTCTGTGCACTGCTCTGGCTCGCCAGAAGCGGCTTAGTCATGCTGGCCACATGACCCGGAAGCTGTATGCCAGCTCCCTTGGCCAATAAAGCGAGATGAGCACCACAACCCCAGAGTCGGTCATGACTGAACCTAATGGTCAGGGGTCCCTTTACCTTTTTATGGGTATGAGTATGATGGGATAAAGTGTCATTTCAGCTGCATTGCCTTAGATCTTGGGTAGTAAAGGAGGTTGTTGGAACTTCAATTCCTGCACATGTGGCCAGTGATCAAAGGGTGATGAGTCTGATAAGAGCATCTGGGCAGCACCTAGCTGAGTTACCCCTGCCTTAGATCATACCACAATAAAACAAAGCCACCACAGCTGCAGAATATTTTTGGGGTTTTTAGAAGAGATATTTGGGTTTTTTAGAAGAGATAAAAGCATATACTAATAGTATTTTTGGAAGCCCTTCAGATATGATGTAATGTAGCAAAGTCAGATGTTAAAGTGTAATTCTGTGATTCACAACAGCCTCTGCACCATGTTTATCAGTATACGTTTCAATGTAGAGGAAAATTTAGATGTGACTGACTTAATGAGGCACCAGATAATTTCAGCTGTTATTTTTTTATCTTCAACCACTATTGACCGTCATTACATCATACTTTGTTATAGGCTGCTCACCCACATGGTTGTATAATCTAAAATATGAAAAGCAAAGAGTAGGCGTAGAAGGGAGCAAAGATATCAACAGCGACAGGATTTGCTTGAGCTTCTGTAGTCACATAGGACATTCAGGGGGGGGAAATATGTTCAGTGTTCCTGATCTATTTTTAATTGTTATATCTTCCATTCATATCCATATGTCTGAGGCATTTTCCCATTCGTGCCTAGTTATCTTCATTGTCCTTATGTAGTGAACATTGAAACAGCAGTTATTTCCCACCTTATAAGATTGTACATCTCCAAATTAAAATCACAAAGAACTGGCTCAATATGTTGCAGTCTATAGTCCTCCGAATCTACCTGGGACTCTTGTTCGCTTTATCCATATGCATTTGCTTGACCCTATTTCCTGAGTGTTTTAAGGGAGCAACCCTAATAGGGGCAGAGAGCTTGTGGAGCAGTGGGTTGTCTACTACATTTACAGTTCCGCTGCTTGCGGGGAAGGTTGGGGCAGTTGATTCTTCTCTTTTGCAGCACCAGCTTTTAGGCTGGGCCAGTGGGGCTCCGACTGGATCCCTCACCAAGATATGAGTTGGCTTTTGTTCCATCAGATCTGTCGCTTGCTCCACCCCACCCCTAAAATGCCCCATTTGGGGCCATTGTGTCAGCTGCCCCAGCAGGCACACCAACTGTGCTAACATGTGGGCTCCCCCTGCCAACCCCAAACTGGTGGAATACAGCTGAGGGATACCTCAACCACATCTTGATCCCCACCAGCATTGCAGATTAGGGGTCTGGACTGTTCTCTGGATACCCACATACAATTTGCAAATGCTGTGCAGGATTAAATCTCTCTGTATAATAAAATCATAAGGCTGTTGTCACATGGCAGTTCATGTGGCCGCCAGTAGGCAGCCACATGAGCAGCACAGTGAAAGGAACAACTAGGATAGGCTGTGGTAGCACCCTGGCAACCATCGTCCTCTGCTACACCACTGCTGCCATTTCAGCCTCAGTGGTGCTAGAGTCTGAGGAGGGAAGCAGCAGAAGAGCAGTTGATGGGGAGCTGGCCTAGCCTGGCTCTTCCTTTGCAGCTTGTGTGGTCCATGGTTTGGTTGAGCTGTAAAGTGAGGAATGTAAAGGGAGAGAGGAGGCCGGGTTAGCCACATGTAAAGGAAGGAGGAGGAGGTTGTTGAGGGGGTGGGGTATGTTGAGGTGAGGTGAGTAAAGCTAGTAATATGTAACTTCTTAATTGTTTTTAGAAGTAAATCCAGATCAACTCCAGATCTAGATGATCATCATGCAAATAGAAATGGTGAGTGGTGTGTGCATATTTTTGTTTTGTTTTTTTTGTAAAAGGGGATTAAAAAAAACAAAGCATAGGGATGGACGAAGCCTGATGCTCAGAAACAATATGAGATACTGGATTATTTTGTCATTGGTTATTTGGTAAGACTGAATTATTGCAGAACTTAGGTCCTAGCCTTAAGCCTTGTCTATAGGTACAGGTGGGACACGGGTGGCGCTGTGGGTTAAACCACAGAGCCTAGGACTTGCCAATCAGAAGGTTGGCGGTTCGAATCCCCGTGACGGGGTGAGCTCCCGTTGCTCGGTCCCTTCTCCTGCCAACCTAGCAGTTCAAAAGCACATCAAAGTGCAAGTAGATAAATAGGTACCGCTCCAGTGGGAAGGTAAATGGTGTTTCCATGTGCTGCTCTGGTTCGCCAGAAGCGGCTTAGTCATGTACGCCGGCTCCCTCAGCCAATAAAGCGAGATGAGCGCCGCAGCCCCAGAGTCAGCCATGACTGGACCTAATGGTCAGGGGTCTCTTTACCTTTACCTATAGGTACAGGTAGGTACATAATCTGATCTGGGTCAGAATGTTGTGACATGTTGTGCATTATTGAACACTAGATCCCAGGGAGATGCAACCATTTGGATGACTCACAGCTCATTTTAACACCAGTATTTTTCTCCACTGGAGCAGAGATTTGCCTTTGTAAAAAGTAGGCAGAATGCTTCACCTTTCTATCAGTATTCTGTCACGAATCATGACTCATACTACAATGTATATAGAGTATCGTGCATCATAAGAGATGTTACTGAGTTTGCTTTTTATCTCCCCTCCACCCCTTTAGTGCACTTGTGTGATTTGTGTGTCTGTGCTTCTTTATTTTTCAAATTAGGCATGAAGAGCAAACTTTCCGAGCAGTCCTCAAATGCTGGTGACTCACAGAAGAGATCTCAGAAAGAGCATGGCTTGTCCCCAGCTGAGCTGGAAAGACAGCAGATCCTTCAGGAAATGAGAAAGAAGACATCCCTACACACCGACAACAGCTGGATCAGACAACGCAGTTCCAGTATGCACAAAGAGCCTGTTAGTCTTATTGGCACTAGAATGAGGAGGTAATATTGATTCACTGTGTGTTGCCTATCGTTGACTGTATGATGCTCATGCCATTCTGGAACTGTGATCGATTTACAAAGCAGTCAAGGAAAGAATTTATTTTAATTTGAGATGGATCAAATTTTCAGTTTTTTCATGAAAATTTGTCTTTTCCCCTTGGATAGTGAGATTCCTGGTTGTAGTGCACTGTTTTTGAAGTTGATGTATCATTTAAGCAGCATTTGTTATGATCTTTGTACCTATTTGAGCTGCATAAGCAAAATTTGGTGATGAAATAATTTTTCTTGGATTCCCAATGTGTGTGTGGGTATTCACCCTGTCTGAGATTGAAAGAGCTATTCTTGTTACACTCAAGAGCCTTGGGTCTGCTTTTGTTTTGTTGGAACAGCAGGCCCACAGGCTATCTCCCAAACTGATTTTGAAGCTCCTCTCAATTTTGGAAGAGAGTTTCCTTGAAGCTTGAGAAACTGCTGCTTCTGAAACACGAATCCATTGCCACCTTGGCATGGTCCTTTAGACCGCCTGTGTATTCATGTGGAAAACAACTCGCTTCACAGTTGGGAGTTCAGAGTTTGTCACTTTGTGAACCTATTAAAGAAATTGGCTTTGAATCGGAACATCTGGGAGCATTGTTAACAACATAAGAAAAGTTCAGCTTCCTGCTTTCCCACAATTGCCAGCCAAATGCCTATGGGAACCTCACAAGCAGGGCATGAATGCAATAACCTTACCTTACCCTTTGTCAGTGGTATATTCTGCCTCTGAATCTGCAAGTTCCATGTAGCCATATTTTTATGTTGAGAACTGCCCTGAGGTCTACAGATGAAGGGTGGTATACTAAATGGATGGATGGACAGACAGACAGATTAGTAGTCTCTATGAATTTGTCCAAAGTTCTCTAAGCTAGTGGCCATCAAGGCATCTCCGTGATAGATGGCCATCCACTCTCTGCTTGAAATGAAGGAGAGTCCACCACATTCTGAAGAGTTCATTCCACTGTCCAACAGATCTTAGCATCAGAAAGCTCTTCCTAATGCCTAGTCAGAATCTCCTTTCTTGTAACTTGAATCCATTGGTTTGGGTCCTAGCTTCCAGAGCAGGAAGCACCAAGCAAGCTTGCTCCATCTTCCACATGGCAGCCCTTTAGATATTTGAAGATGGCTATTATGCCTTCCTCTGTTTCCTCTTATCCAAGCTAAACACACCCAGCTGCCTCAAATGTTCCTCATAAGGCTTGGTTTCCAGACCCTTGCTCATCTTGGTTGGCCTCCTTTGCACACATTCCAGCTAGTCAATATCATTCTTAAATTGTGGCGACCAGAACTGGACACGGTACTTCAGGTGTGCTCTGACTAAGATACCATTTTGTTACCAAAAAAATGCAAACCTGTTGAAGCACACTATGTCCATGTTCAACCTTCACCTTCTTGCTACAATGGCAGCCATATAATCTTCTTCTTTTTTAACATACAGAGGTGAGAGTTTGGATAACCTTGATTCTTCAAGAACAAATTCCCGGAGGCCTCATTCTTGGATGGGCCAGTCTGGATCTTCACTCTCTTTATCATCTAGTCAAGATTTTAGTCACCATGTGCCTCCTGTAGTCTCCACTTCAAATCGTGCCTACATGCGCATACCCTCTTCCAGCCTGCCATCTCCTTCGGCCAGTTCCATGAAAACTTCATCCTTGCCTCATGTTCTTCCATCTGCGCAATCTCCTGTTCCCCGTTCTCAGTCACCAACTTCTGCTTCCCAGTCTGGAACTCAGCAACGCAGCAGGTATGGGGTTCTGTCTAAAACATTTGGCTAAAAACTTTTATGTATAACTTAACATTACTGAGTTTTCATAAAGGGTGATGTAGAGAACAATGAACTCCTTCCATCCGTGCAGAAAATACTTAAAATGGCACCATTTATTTTTAAGCTGCGAGCTCTGGAGACCCACACAGAGCTGCAGAATGTGTTTTGCACTACATAATTAGAGGGACATAAAAATTATTTTGTCAGCTCTGCCTCTTTTGCTGTTTTATTCTTAAAGTGATTTATGCCTCAAAGTGTACATTTATAAAATCAAGCCATACACACATGTATTCTGTAAGCCAGTGGCTCAGGCATTGGGTATATATCCATTTCAACCTCCTTCTGGAAGGCTGAAATTTTGAACAGGGTCCTGCCAAGGATTGTGGCCTCCCCAAGATGTGCTTCCACTGAACCCGATTCCCTCTGACCCCTTCCTCATAACTGATATTTATGGGTTCCAAATCAGTTTTGCATGGTAATTAATGTTATACAATTCCATTTTACAGTGTGTATTTAATTGGAACATGAATGCACACCTTTAAGCACCCAAGCACCATGTTCACCCCTCCTTGTTTCATGGTTGTTGAATACCGTACTTTTCCTTGTATAAGATTAGGTTTTTTTTCTTCAAAAATTATGCTGAAAAGTGGGGGTCATCTTATATATGGAGCCATCCCCCCATTTTCTTAAATTTGAGTCCCCCAAAATAGGGGGCATCTTATACATGGGGGCGTATTATACATGGAAAAATACGGTACTTTGAATGGCTTTTTATGTGAAAAATTGTACATTAAGAGCATGTTTATATTATGTAAATAATATGATATTTGTCTTTTTGCAACTTTTTAATGCTGGTTTTTAACCTCTCTGGTTTGAGAGCAGACCATGGTTACATAAGTTTTGATGACACGGTAAAATCATGCTTATTGATGACAAAGCAAGGAATGGAATAAGCATTTGCGAGCTCATCGGGAAGTTTCCAGTCTCCCAACTGTTAGTGATCAGCAATACAATATGTGAACTAGACAGTAGTGTTATCTTCAAATTTTATATGGCAGGACTTCAGAGAGGTTTCTGTTGTATATCCCAGCCTAGTGCTGTGTTGCCTAAAAAGATACAGCTGTTGGGATTTGGATAGGAGCACTTTCTGAAATGTATTCATAATCATTTCCCACAGATAAAGAGAGAGGAATCTAAATCATATATCCCTGCATGCTAAATTTAGAAATGTTTTGGACAGTGTAATTTATGTTGAAAATTTATGGTGGCACTATATTGCATGAGAGATTGCTGAAGGTACTCATTTATTCATTGAAATGGTCACTTCTTTTCCCGATTTGAAAATTTCTGTTCTAGGATAGTAACTTGCAGATTTCTTCTAGCAGTCCTGGGTTTGGGTTCATTACTCATGCCGTTGTAGCACTTTCTTTTCAATGACATTTCTCTAGTTTCCTAAAATCTGCCTCTCAGCCGCTTTCTTGTTCTGTATCTAGGTCGGTCAGTGGAAAGCGAGTGTGCTCATACTGTAGAAACGTTCTGGGCAAAGGAGCAGCCATGATCATCGAATCTCTTGGTCTTTGCTATCATTTACATTGTTTTAAGGTGAGAGGTGGGCAAAACGCCAGGGAGATGGAGGAACCTTACACTGCAGGCTAACATGGCAACTTAGAAGACAATGAATTAGGGGCTCTGCTAATCAACCTTGCGCTACATGCATAACTCAGCCTGGCAAATATCTCTGCTTGCTCACCTGCTTCAAATTAAAATAATCAGGTTCTTGATTTGATTGAGGATTTCGAAATATCTTCCATCAGTGGTTTCATGCAACCTTGCACACATCTGAATTAGCATTCTACATTTGCAATTACATCCTTAATCACGTAAGGTGGATTAGTTCGGTCTTCAAATCTTCATCTGTTTGCATTCGCACAATGAGGGTAGTTAATGTATGGAAGAATATAGTCCCTCTGCTGCCACCACCACCACACACTTGTGGCTCCAATAGGAAACTTCCTATGCACTTAGGTCATAAGGGGGTGGGGCTTTGTGTTGAATGCCAGCACTGTCTGAAGCCAGATAGCAACAAGAGGTAAGGCTTTTTCAGTGATGGCACCTAGGAGCTCCTTCTGGTGAGGTTGTTTAGCTTCTGGTTTAGCTTGTTTAGGGTCTTCAGGAAGTTGATGGAGAATTCTAGTGAGCCTTTGGAATTGAATGGGTTTTATGGCAGTTCCATCTGAAAATATGACTGCTTTAAAATCGACGAACAACGTATACTGAAGTTATATATTACAAGCCATCCTGAGCATTTCTTAGAAGCTGTGTGTGTGTGTGATTTTTAAAAATAAAGTAAGTTACACTTTAAAGAAGCATTCTCACACAGAATTAGTAGCACTGATGTCATTGTAAACATGAAGTCTGGCCAGACTTTAAGAAAGGAGGTCTAGGGTGGCAGGAATCTGATTGTGACTCATGCTTGGTGCCAAAATCACTGCTTTTGATTCTTTTGTGCCATGGAAATCATTCTGTTTCAGAAAGCAAGACTCTCGTTTCCTAATCCCTGGCTCATTCCTCTTCTCTGCTTAAAGTGCGCAGCTCTTCACATTGCTTGTTTCTAGCATTAGAACCTCTCCTGCACATTAACACACTCCCGCTCTTGCTCAAGAGGGTATATGGTTCAAATCTTGTATTTGAAAAGTCATTGCAAAATGTGTTCGTACTGCTAATTGTTCCTTTTTCTTCACAGTGCAATGCTTGCGGGTGCGACCTTGGGGGCTCTCAGGCCGGAACGGAAGTCCGGATCCGAAACAATGAACTCTTCTGCAATGACTGCTATCTCAGATTTAAGAGTAAGGGGTTCCTTCAACAATGCTAAAGTTTTGATTACTTACGCCTACACCAAATGCTTTTCAGAATTATAGTTTTCCTCTGTGTATGTGATATAGGGATGATTTGTGTTGTAGTACTTGTTTCTACTGGGATTTGGGAGGATTTTCTTCTTGGATCAATGAGGCTATTTTTTTCTGATTTGAAATATTTAAAAAGAAAAAATGGAACAATTACCAAAAGTGCAATTGGAGCAATAGGACTAAAAGAAAAGAAACCAGTATGTCTGAGGGATAGCATTTACATTATTTTGTATTTCTCTCAGTGTCATGATACATTAAAACATACATATTAAACAGATGATTTGTAATAATTAGGGAGGAAGAGGGCCGGTTTATAGTGTTTTAGATATTGCAAGTTATGACAAATCATAAATTTTATTCTGCTTTGAAGGAGCATCCTCCTCTGGGATAAGGAGGCTTCCTCTTAGTGGTCACAGCTGGAGGAAGACTTGATCTAAAGAGCTGAGAAAATTAATTTTTCATTGGCTGGGATCCTAAGTATGCTTTTAAGGAATTCAGCTTCATGAAATCTGTTGGGTGGCCAACTTATTAAATATCTTAGAGATCATGGGGCCTGGTTCGTCTGCTCCCTTAATCTTGTTATAATCAGATTTGTCTTTAGGAAAGCTTTGCTGTGCATCCCACTGCCATCAGAAGCACAGTGGCTGATCACATGGGGCAGGAACTTCCTGGCTGCAGCATCTGAAATTTGGGAGGCTTAGGCAGGCCTTGCCTTATTTACCTTCAGTGTTTACTGAAGACTGCCTTATTTTTAACCAGTCTTCAATATTAGTTGCTTGCCTTCCAATTATGGATTCTGTGGGCTGTTGCTGTTGGATTTTGATCCCAGTTTGTTCCATTGTTCTCGTCTTTAATAGTTATTTTTTATTTTACTCAGGTTTTGTGGCTATTTAGTATGCTGTTCTGAGGGGCCTTTTGGGTGGGATAATGTGTGTTGTGCTGTGTGTGCCATGTTAATAGTTGCTTGACTTACTTTGCAAGGGACGCGGGTGGCACTGTGGTCTAAACCATAGAGCCTAGGGCTTGCTGATCAGAAGGTTGGCAGTTCGAATCCCCGTGATGGGGTGAGCTCCCATTCCTCAGTCCCAGCTCCTGCCAACCTAGCAGTTCAAAAGCACGTCAAGTAGTGCATGTTAAGTGCAAGTAGATAAATAGGTACCGATCCGGCGGGAAGGTAAACGGCATTTCCATGAGCTGCTCTGGTTCACCAGAAGTGGCTTAGTCATGCCTGCCACATGACCTGGAAAAACTGTCTGTGGACAAACACCGGCTCCCTTGGCCAGTAAAGCGAGATGAACACCACAACCCCAGAGTTGTCCGTTATTGGACTTAACTGTCAGGGGTCCCTTTACCCTTTATCTTTACCTGACTTACTTTTAAGTGGAGATGGCATATCTGAAATGTCAGCTCCGCTTTGACCCAACAGACTTTTGCTTTATATGAAATCACAGGGCAGCGCTTTTAACCTTACACAAATTCCATTATAGATGAAGTGGAAGTACTTTTACTAGAGTAGCCTATCTAGGTTTCTTTTGAAGTATGAGGCTTTGAAGAGTTGGTGGCCTATCCATGTATGATATTTGGAAGGTTCCTCAGCAAGAATTCCAGTGTAGGTTGACGTTACCTTGTCTCTTCCAGGGACTTTGGCAAGAGAAGGGTGGGCCCCTTAGCAAAGCATCATGAGTTACAGATGTGTCCTAACGCAGATCTCAGCCTTGTTTGGAAATAGTTCCTCACGCAATGACTGCAACATCAGGGGATTAGCTTTCTGTGTAAATGAGCCTTTGCATATCTAATAACACAGACGTAATATTCATATCACCTTGGTGCCACTTGAAATGCAATGCTTTTCCGTGGAGCCAATTCACATCATTAGATGTTTCATTTTCTTGAAACATCTGAGTAGACAGGAAACTTGAAAATGCTTTCTTGACTTAAACATGTCCTGTCAAGGTAGCTTTTGTGTTCCTCTTTGAGTTTTTCCTTATAATCTTGCTCTTATATATTAATCTGCTTTTTTATGTCAATCCACATCCCTGCCTTTTTAGACTCCCTGCTGCTCTCAGCTTCTGCTCTTCTCAAAATGCCTATAGGTGACTCCAAATTCAGGGGTTCAGGACTTCTGTCTGCATCCAGCCCTGTAGTGGGATACTTCCACCCATGTTGCTTGCTTGCTAGCCCACATAAGATTATAGGGACTGGTTGTCTGGCTTTCCATACTGTAAGACTCTTCCAATCACAGTGGAGGCTGCTTCAGACACCTTTAAAGTGCCCAGTTGTGTGTGGTAGCATTAACTTGTAGCCAAAATATCTGCCCGGTGGTTGCATGCCTAAGATTTCAGTTTTTCTAGCCCCTCGTGTTGGTTATGTGAACTTTGGCAATTGTTGATGTGGAAGGAAAAGCTGAGGAAAATCATTCTTAGTGCAGTCGAACATCATAACCAGTGTAGGTGTTTAAATTTGAGGCCAAATCATGGGCACATGCCCTTAGACTTTTCACCCTCTTCTATCCTCAGTATATTTTGGGATGCCATTTAAGAACACTCCTGTCGTTGCCGTTGTCATTATTTGAGCCCCTTTAAAGGGCTAGTCATGTTGTCCTGGTCTTCTGAGGGCCAAAATAGATATCACATTATGTTAAATACTTTCATGCACTTTTGTGTCATTTTAATGTGCATAGCTCTGAGCAGCATTGGGAACACAGTGGATGTGGAGGGAGAGGTTAACCCTTTTTCCTGCTGTGATGCTCATGGAAATTCTTCTTCTCTCCTATGTATCAGGAGAGAAATGCTCATTGGAGCCTGACCGTAACTTTCCACAATTCCAGGCAGCTACTAACTTGCGGTATCTTCAAGTCTCTCTCTCCAAGTCTCCCCCTCCTTTTCTGTCCAGCAGTTGGCTCATGAGTAAACTTTTGTTACAAGAGCTCCTTCTGCTGGCCTTGTGAAAATCTAATGGCACTTAAGAGTGCTAGTTCATTCAACTTGCTGGGGATCTCATTATGAGAGCTTGAAAATGGAATTCTCAGGGTCCAACCCCAAACTATCTTACTTTTCCAGAACAGCTTGGATGTTGTTAACACAATTAAGCAGAATGCAATAAATATTTGAGGATTTTAAGAAACCAGTTTTGAAGTGGAGATGTTTCTCTCTTTCTGAACCCTTGCATTAATTAATCCTTCTCTCTTCTCTTATTTTAAACAGCTGGACAGCCAACCATTATGTGATAGAAGCCTTAATATGAAACCACTGCTACAGATAGAGGAGGAAGCTGCTGCTGTAGATCTATAAATATATTTTGTGTGTGTGGTTTTTAAAAAATATTTTTGCCTGTCTAGCTCATGTAGAAAATTCATGGTATCTTTTATTATACTTATATGGAGCTATTTATGAGAAGGTAATCACAAATAAATAAAACAGAGTGCTTTAAGTTCAATGTATAATTCCATCCTTATATATATCTACACACACATACAAAAGGGAGAAAAGCATTTAATTGGGTAATTTAAAAATGTTGGAGACTTGCGAGGAAATAGCTTTAATTTTCCAATCATATATGAGGAGGCTTTTTAATGTTCTTAAATGAGCATTACTGAAATAACAAGTATGTATTCGTAACCGCAGTTTCTACATCTGATGTATATGCTATCAAGTTCTGCAGGATATTATGAAATTGCGTTCAAAGACATACAGGTGGCTGCTGTCTATATTTGAGTTACTAAGCTTATGTAATATTATCGTTTTTAAAACTAAAATGTAAACTTCAGTCTGCTTTTGCCTGGGATTCAATATTTCATTGTGCTTTAATAGTTATAGCCAGTCGGGGAAATTATTTCTGAGGCGTTCTTTCTTTTCATGTTTGAGAAATGTAACTCTACTTGCACCTCAAACAAGTTAATAAGACTGAGCATTTCCCCCCTTCTGTTGACTTATTTTGTATTTGTAAATAAAGTTGCTGATACTGCACTTGAACTGCTTGCATTCTTTATTTTTCCGTCTAGAAGGAAGAAACCCTGCAGGAAAATGTCAGTGAACTCTGATACAATTCAATTGCGAGCCCAGTTACAGCACCCCTGTACATAGGCAATAGCTATGCTGTAAAGCAGGGATGTCCAACCGGTCGACCGTGATCGACTGGTCGATCCCCACGAGGTTTTGGTCGATCGCAGTCGATCTCAGGTTCTTTTTCCTTAGCGGGGGAGCATTCGGCCTCGCCCCCTCCTCCATTCACTCAAGATCGCTAGAACAGAAGACGGAGTTTTATCTGTGAGGCTGTCCTGCCCCTCTAAAAAAGGTTAATAACTTCGACTTTCCTCCCTAAAAAAAAAAGAGCTCAGCACCTTTGACCTGAAACCCGCCCCCCCAAAAAGGGGTAGATCACTGCCAGTTTTTTATTCTGTGAGTAGATTGCAGTCTCTTGGGAGTTGGACGTCCCTGGTGTAAAGGAACAAAACTTGACAAGACAATGATCTGGGATAAAAATTGGCCACAGATTTATTGATTAAAGCTGTAGGTGGACTTTGGCTCAAGCACTGGGTGTATATCCATCTCAGCCGCCTGCTGGAGGGCTGAAATTTTGAACAGGGTCATGCCAAGGATTGTGGCCTCTCCAAGATGTGCTTCCACTGAGCCCGACTCTCTCTGCCCCTTTCCTCATCATTCATTTTTATGGGTTCCAAATCAGTTTTGCCTGGTAACTAATGTTATAGTCAATATATTTTTGTATGAACTTATGATTATGATAGGATTCAGCTGTTTGGTAAATAACTTACTCGGGTGCTTTTTCTGGTATATTGTTTTTGTTTGTTTGTGTTTTTATTGCTTTTTTAGGTTTGTTCTTTGCTGCTTGCTTAACAGTGCAGCAAATGTCTTGCCAATGAGACTGTTGATTGACAGTGTGCACCTTCAAAGTCATCTTACCTGGAACATTGCTCTTTTTTAAAAGAAACATTTCATAACACCAGATTAAGCTGATGCTTTGTACAGACTTGCCTTCCCAATGCATTCATCCAAAATGCATTTTCTGCTGCAGAAATTTTGAATTATTTTTCCCTTTTGCATGTTTCAACCACAGGCAGTTCCTCTGCGCCAGCTTCAGAGAGGCAGCTAGAAGTAAAGAAAACCACCACTCCTAGCCACTTCATCACCTGGCAATAATTTTTCTTATGCCATTTTCCCAACTAAAATCCCACTAAAGCTTCTCTTGATCTCAGGGAGAAAAAAGTACAGATGGATTTCAGGGTGTCAGTACTTGTGACATATCTCAAAATGATACCCACATAGTGTGGAGTTTTCAAAAGCAGGGTATAAAACCTGGATCTTCTAATAAAACAAAAATATTTTTAAACACAAGATGGCAGTCTTTAAATGCAATTGATGTGAGAATGTCGTGTTTTGTAATCATGCGAATGATCCTAAACCCCTTTCTTAATATCAGAAGCCAAACGCTTCCCTGTGTTTGGACTCTTACAACATCTTTTGTCAATGTGGCCGTTCTGGTTTATGCAACATTTTTGCCACATGGATGTTTCCATAGGATTGTTCCACGTGGAGAATTTCAAAGCATTGGAACAGACTCCAAGACAGCCACTCTGAGATGCAAGGCAGTTGCTTTACCTTCGGAAAAAGTGAAAATAGGTATGGTGAGGTTGTCAAAGAATAATCTAAATTCTGGGCTATCGTTAGAGCTTAGTGCAGGAATATTTAAAAATAAAACTGTTACCTAAACTTTGGGTAACTAGTTTGTCCTTTTTTATATATATAATATTTTTTATTAATTTTAACATATAAATTATAAAATGTACCACAAAACTTATCACTTATACAATCTTTTTGGACTTCCATCAGCACCTCTGATGATCCACCATTTTAACCACTTCTTATGCATTTCTTAACTTTAGATTGCCTTTACATCTCTTAACGAATCATCCTCCCCCTTGTTCATTTTTACAATACTTCTAATAATACTCCTCACAAAACTTCTTGCAACCCTACAAACGTCGTCTGTTCTTCACAATTACTTTTCAAATGGTCCGTAAATTTACTCCAGTCTTCCATGAATTTCTGGTCTCACCAGTTTCGAATCCTTCCTGTTAGTTTATCTAATTCTGCATAGTCCATTAACTTCATCCTCCATTCTTCAATCGACGGTAACTCTTCTTGCTTCCATTTTTGGGCCAATAATATTCTTTCTGCTGTTACTGCATATAAAAAGAGCTTGCATTCCTTTCTATTTATATCACTCCCCACAATGCCCAATAGAAATGCTTCTGGTTTCTTTATAAATGTATAGTTCAACATTTTTTTCAACTCATTATATATCATCTCCCAGAATCATTTCAGGGTAACTAGTGTGTCCTAATCAAAAGAAATGAACCCTCCCTCATAACACAATATTTTGGGGACATTCAGTGACACTGACTGTTGGAAGATTCAGGACTGGGGCACCGGCTTCAAGGTGCCAAGCCTTCCCCCCCATATTTCTGGAGAAGGGCTTGTTGGGATGCTGCCGGGGAGATGGGGGCATTTAGCAGGCCCCCAGCTGGCTCCAGCCCACCAGGCCAGCAGTCAGGGCAAAACTCTGGTTCTCGGAGCAGCATCAAAACTGCGACTCAAGCCTCAGAAGCCTTTAGAGACTGAGCACGCAATCCAGCAGAGATAAGAACTCTCTGCAACAGAAATAGCGGACAGAGGCATATGTAAGCATATTTACAGCATTTATCCAGCAGCGGGACAAAAGAAAAACATGTCTGCTTCCCTTCGTGTCCAAGCAAAACAGCAGTGCAGCAAAAGCAATGTACAATGAAAGTTCCCAGCAGACTGTGCTGGAAGATGGACTCAAGGGCATCCTGATCAAATTTGCAGATGACACCAAACTGGGAGGGGTGGCTAACACCCCAGAGGACAGGATCACACTTCAAAACGACCTTGACAGATTAGAAAACTGGGCCAAAACAAACAAGATGAATTTTAACAGGGAGAAATGTAAAGTATTGCACTTGGGCAAAAAAATGAGAGGCACAAATACAAGATGGGTGACACCTGGCTTGAGAGCAGTACATGTGAAAAGGATCTAGGAGTCTTGGTTGACCACAAACTTGACATGAGCCAACAGTGTGACGCGGCAGCGAAAAAAGCCAATGCAATTCTGGGCCTCATCAATAGGAGTATAGCATCTAGATCAAGGGAAGTAATAGTGCCACTGTATTCTGCTCTGGTCAGACCTCACCTGGAGTACTGTGTCCAGTTCTGGGCACCACAATTCAAGAAGGACACTGACAAACTGTAACGTGTCCAGAGGAGGGCAACCAAAATGGTCAAAGGCCTGGAAATGATGCCTTATGAGGAACGGCTAAGGGAGCTGGGCATGTTTAGCCTGGAGAAGAGGAGGTTAAGGGGTGATATGATAGCCATGTTCAAATATATAAAAGGATGTCACATAGAGGAGGGAGAAAGGTTGTTTTCTGCTGCTCCAGAGAAGCGTACACGGAGCAATGGATCCAAACTACAAGAAAGAAGATTCCACCTAAACATTAGGAAGAACTTCCTGACAGTAAGAGCTGTTCGACAGTGGAATTTGCTGCCAAGGAGTGTGGTGGAGTCTCCTTCTTTGGAGGTCTTTAAGCAGAGGCTTGACAACCATATGTCAGGAGTGCTCTGATGGTGTTTCCTGCTTGGCGGGGGGTTGGACTCGATGGCCCTTGTGGTCTCTTCCAACTCTATGATTTTATGATTCTATGATTCTATGATTCTAAACAGACATGTGACAAAAAACAACTCCACATGCCTGTTCTAAAGGTGGAACGGAACTGCATCCTAACATGGCCCCCCTGATGTCCCCCAAGCACAGAGCTTTGGGAAGGAGGCAGGAAGGCTTCACCATCCTGTCAGAGGCCTGGCACCTCCTTTCCCAAAGCCCTGGAAACTTCTGCCTGGCTTAGGGGGAGAGACATGATACTCTGGGGTCTAAGAACCTTCTCACCACCTTCCCAAAGCGGGCCCAGCTCTGGCTCCTCTCAATGCCTGACGTCATGCACACGACATGGCGACGTCACAGCATCACGCTTGTGGCGTTGCCCCCCCATAACCCTCGTAAGTTGGCACCTCTCTTCAGGACAGACATAATGAAGCATAGTTGAACTATGTTTTTTGCCCCCCAACAAGATGTTGTGATGGCCACCAACCTGGATAATTTTAGTGGAGCAGAATGCTATCAATGGCTACTAGCCATCATGTCTAATTGGCCCATGTGATAATTATAAAGTAATAATAATTTATTTTTTATACCCTGCCCCATCTGGCTGGGTTTCCCCAGCCACCCTGAGCGGCTCCCAACAGAATATTAAAAACACGATAAAACATTAAACATTAAAAACTTCCCTAAACAGGGTTGCCTTCAGATGTCTTTAAAAGTCAGATAGTTGTTTATTTCCTTGACATCTGATGGGAGGGCGTTCTACAAGGCAGGCGCCACTACCGAGAAGGCCCTCTGCCTGGTTCCCTGTAACTTCACTTCTCGCAGGGAGGGAACCGCCAGAAGGCCCTCAGAAATGGACCCCAGTGTCCAGGCTGAATGATGGGGATGGAGACACTTCTTCAGGTATCCTGGGCCGAACAGGTTGCTGGACAAGATAAGCAACAGGGATGACCAAGCAAGCTCTTCTTATGTTCCTATGAATGAGCTACAGTGGTGCCTCGCAAGATGAAATTAATTCGTTCCGCAAGTTTTGTCATCTTGCGATTTTTCCGTCTTGCGAAGCACGGTTTCCCATAGGAATGCATTGAAAATCAATTAATGCGTTCCTATGGAAACCGACTTCAGACCAGGTCCGGGGACAGTCTGTCCCCCGACCTCTTCTGAAGGCTGGGGGGGGGACCAAGGGCTTTTCTTCCCACCCCCAGCATTTTAAAAAACCCCGGGACAGCGGGGGACTTCTCCGCTGTCCGGGGCGATCTTAAAATGCTGGCGGGCG